CGAGGTTTATAAGATTATGCATGGGAAAGAGCAGGTAAAGAAAGAGGTACTTTTCTCCCTTTCTCACAATACAAGAACTCGTGGGCACTCCATGAAACTGCAGAGCGGTCGGGTTAGAACGGATAAAAGGAAGTACTTCTTCACCCAAAGAGTGATTAACACATGGAATTCACTGCCACAGGAAGTGGTGGGTGCTACAAGCATGGACGGCTTCAAAAGGGAATTAGATAAGCATATGGAGCAGAGGTCCATCAGTGGCTATTAGCCACAAGGTACAGATAGGGACTCCGGGGCAAGGGATGCTCTGTCTTCTTGGTGAAGGACGTCCTTCTTCACCCAAAGAGTGATTAACACTTGGAATTCACTGCCACAGGAAGTGGTGGGTGCTACAAGCATGGATGGCTTCAAAAGGGAATTAGATAAGCATATGGAGCAGAGGTCCATCAGTGGCTATTAGCCACAAGGTATAGCTAGGGGCTCTGGGGCAAGTGATGCTCTGTCTTCTTGGTGCTTGGGGGGGGTCAACAGTGGGAGGGCTTCTAATGTCCTGGCCCCACTGCTGGACCTCCTGATGGCACTGGTATTTCTGGCCACTGTGTGACACAGAGTGTTGGACTGGATGGGCCTTTGGCCTGATCCAACATTGGCGTCTCTTATGTTCTTATGTTCTTATGTAGCACCAGATTTTACTATATGTGTAATAGTGTTTTATTGCACTTAATTTTTAAACTTGTTGTTAGACGCTCTGAGCCATTGGGTAGGGCGGCATAGAAATCTCAAAAATAAAATAAATAAAAATAAATAAATAAAATGTCAGTTCCCAGCCCTTAGGACTCAGGGTTTGTCAAAGAAAAGGTTCCAAGCCTCGTGGGACTGTGGCCAGAACCGAGAACGGTCAAAAGAGGGGCACGAAGACGTTGATGCTCACGTCTAATCTGGTCTGATGCTGTTTCGTCATCTGGTCTTGGACCTTCAGCCTTCTCAGGAGCTCTTTGAAGCCGACCATCGGCACAGGAATCAGCCTGCAGAAATAAGAGTGCCAAGTTGGTTAAAAATTGGGCGGCGCCTTACCGTTTTTGTTTTGAAAACACAAGCATTCACAAGCTCCTGGCCGCTAAAAGAACACGTGGTCCTTCATAAAACCGAACAGACAACAGCTCGACAGGAAAGAACAGGATGGGAAATGTAAAAATAAGACAGGTACATTTTATCATATGTGGTGGCTATGTGATGTAGCAAAGAGATACTGGAGATGGGGCCACGAGATGATGCAAGAGATATTGAGAACTAAAATACCATTCTTGCCTGAAATATTACTAAACATATTTCCAAAGGACTTTGATAAAGGCGATAGATATTTGATAGTACATCTATCTACGGCAGCAAGAATACTATATGCAAAATATTGGAAACAAATGGAAGCACCAAAGAAGCAAGAGTATGTGAATAAACTGTTGGAGACGGCGGAAAATGATAAACTGTCATCGTTGATGAGAGGGACAACAGACCCAATATTTCAAAAGACGTGGAAAAAACTGTATGACTGGTACAATATAAATGCATAATTCAAAGTGATGAAATTTTTGGTAGGATTAATCTCTTTTAGTTAAATAGAAACTATGGTAAAAAGATAAGAGTACAGAGAAACTTAAACAAACCTAAAGAAACTTTTTAATATGGTAATAGAGTTATAAGAAAGTATACTGATCTCATTGTATGTTTTATGTTTGTAAGTGGTTGTTTGTGATATGTTGTATGTATGTGTAAAATATGGAAAATAATAAAAGTGTACCTAACGGGTACTTTAAAAAAAAAAAGGAAAGAACAGGATGGCCCAGAGAGCGAATCAGAAGAGAGCCTCCTCTTCTCTTTATAAAAAGGGACGGAGGCTTTGCCCAGTCCGAAGGGCTTTGGCCCAACTCCTCCACTCCTTCGCACAGAGATCTCACCAAGGGGGTTACATGTGAACATACGATCCTTCCCGAGCATTCTGAAATGGCACTGTCTTGCATGCCCTTTCTAATCTTTTGAATTAGCTTTCAGGGGACTACCAGTTTGGCGTAGCGGTTAGAAGCGCGGACTTTAATCTGGGAGGACCGGCTTTGATTCCCCACTCCTTCACATGCAGCCAGCTGGGTGACCTTGGGTCAGTCGTAAGTTCTCTCGGAGCTGTTCTCTCAAGACCAGTTCCCGGCAGAGCTCTCTCGGCCCCGTCTACCTCACAGGGTGTCCGTTGTGGGGAGGGGAAGGGAAAGGAGACAGAGAGCCGCTCTGGGACTCGGAGTGAAGGGCGGGGAACGAATCCACTCTCTTCCTCTTCTTCTACTTAGGCGGCCACCTGACTTGGATGGCCCTGGCCGGCCAGATCCCGTCAGATCTCGGAAGCGAAGCAGGGCTTGTCCCTTGGATGGGAGACCATCAGGGCCCCTTAGGATTGCAAGACAGGAGCAAGCAGCGGCAAACCCCCCTCTGGACCTCTCCTGCCTTGAAAACCCTCCAGGCTTGCCGTACGTCGGCTGTGACTCAACGGCACTTCCCAACAACATTTAGAAGTCGAAACTTTTAATACTAGACCCTGATGCAGCCCTGTGGCTCACTTTGTCATCTGCCCGGTATCCAGACTTCGTTAGCAGAAGCTTACAAGAGACCAAGGAGCCCTACGAGGAAAGGCTGAGGGACCTCTTGGGAATGTTCAGTCCGGAGAAGAGGAGGCCAGAGGGGGGGGGGGACAGACGGACAGGATCGCTCTCTGGAAGTATTTAAAGAGCTGCCCCTTAGAGGAGGGCAGGGAGCTGTTCCTGTTGGCAGCAGAGGAGAGGACTCCCCATCGCGGGTTTAAATTAAGGGCGGGGAGGCACCGGCTGGATCTTAGGAACCCTTTGTCACAGTCAGAGCTGTGCAGTGGTGGGATCGGCTGCCTAGTCTTTCAGCAGCGGCTGGACACACGCTTGTCGGGGATGCTCTAGGCCAGGGTTGTCAAACATAAGGCCCGGGGGCTGGAACCAGCCCGCCCGGGGCTCTTATGCGGCCCGCGAGCAGCTGGTGCAAGGGAGGGGACAGGAGACTGCTCGTGGGGGAGTGGGTGGAGCCACTCTGACTGCGGCTTCAGCATGGCAGAACAACCTCATCTGCAACAGTCAAGCAGCACAGAAATGTCTGCCCAAGTGCTGCACTGCCGGCTCTCCGGTCCACCCGTATGGGTTTTCCTTTGCACCCCCCTCCCAGCCCAGGGGGCCTTGCGGTGAGGATACAACAACTCGGAGCTTACCAACTCGGAGCTGTCCTTTATACAGTTTATATCTCTGGTAAGTAAAGGTAAAGGTTCCCTTGCTCGAAAGCCAATCGAATCCGACTCTAGGGTTGCGGTGCCCATCTCCGTTTCAAAGCCAAAGAGCCAGCACTGTCCGAAGACGTTTCCGTGGTCATGTGGCCGGCATGACTAAACACCAAGGCGCACGGAACGCTGTTACCTTCCCACCGTAGTGGTACCTATTTATCTACTTGCAATTTCTTGCTTTCGAACTGCTCGGTTGGCAGGAGCTGGACCTAGAGACGGGAGCTCACTCCGTCATGCGGTACACTCGGGTCTCGAACTGCTGAACTACCGACCTTCGACAGCCTGCAGTTCAGCGTCTTAACCATTTGAGCCACCGCAACTCCTTATATCTCTGGTACCTGGCATTATGTTTTATGGCACACATGGCCCGGCCCGAAAAAGTGACATTTATGTCAGATCCGGCCCTCGTAACAAATGAGTCCGACACCTCTGTTCTAGGCTGATCCTGCACTGAGCAGGGGGTTGGACTAGAGGGCCTGTCTGGTCCCTTCCAACTCTGTGATTTTGTGGTTCTAAGAACGGCCGCTCTGATCTTGCCCTCCCTGCTCAGGCGGTGTGGTGTGCTCCCTTGAAGAAGTGACCCAGCTGAAGGCTTCACCAGCACCACTCTGCAAACCACTTACTTCTCAGGATCTGGATTATCCACTTTGGCCTGTTCCCAGATGATAGGATCGACACCTGCAAGGGCCAGAAATGAGTTACGTCAACAAAGGAAGATCGCCGTAACTTAAGCAAGATTTTCCTGCTCTCCTCCACCTGGATGTGCGAATGCACGCTGTAATTAACAAAGTTTCCACAATAAACAGCACCTCCAACACCGATGCTGTTACGTTGACCTCGCTTTTACAGACAGGAAATCCGCTCGCATCAGTTTAAAACTAACAGGCGTTAATTAAAACGTAACAAAACGGTTAACCTATCATTTTAAAAAGGTTCTTGGGAAAAGGTGCTCTCAGCACAGGCTGTGTCAAGTGTTGGTGGAAGGGTTTTTGCCTGCTTCTCCCCTGGTTTCAAAAACGGCAGTCAGTAGCCAGGAGGAATTGGCTTTGAAGCCGAACAATACCAGGAACGATACGCAGTTGTGGACAGGTTTACATCAGGACCACACAGTGTAGCATTCAGTCAAGAATAAAAGAACCTGAAAGACACTGCAGACTGGGCCAACCTGAAAAATCAGCAATGGCTGAACACAGCCTAACTCAAACAGGACACAGTATCTTATACCAAGACACTGAAAGGCTGGACAACACATCCAATTACCATTTCAGATTACACAGGGAAGTCACTGAAATTCATAAGCATAAACACAATTTCAACAGGAAAGAAGAGAGTTTAAAAATATATAGGGCATGGTTTCCTGTCCTGAAAAACACAAAATGCTCTACATATTACAATAGCATCACAAATAAGATTAGAATTTCAACAGCCAATCCATATGCAAAAGAACCTCCTCAGGAAAGCTCCTCCATTAGCATGTCACAGCCTGGGAAACCCTACAAGATAATGACTCAGCCCTAACCCACCTTCCTGAGTAGATATAAATTCCCTGCCTACCATTTTTCTTCTCACCTTGACACAGAGAGTACTACGTCTTTCTATGTTATACCTCTGAGGACGTCAGTCACAGCTGCTGGCGAAACATCAGGTCCTACAATGCCAAGACCATGGCCATACAGCCCAGAAAATCTACAACTAATATCAGTGAACATTTAAGAGCAAGACTGGAGTCCGTGAGCACTTTAAAGACCCTGCCCTCTGGCTGGGAGGGTGGGGTAGAAATTTGAAAAATAAAACAAAAATAAAAAATAAAACAAGATTTCCGGGGGATAAGCTCTCAAGTGTCAAAATTCCCCTTGATCAGATATAAGTGGGAATGAAGATCCCAGAGCCTTTAGATATACCAGAAGGCAGGAGGGATTTCGCAAAGAAGGAAGTCGGGATGCAAAGGTACAACAGATATTGTAGTCAGCTTGGTTAGAGCAGGGAAGAGGAAGAGGAAGAGGAAGAAGAAGAAGAAGAAGAGGAGGAGGAGGAGGAGGACGAGGAGGAGGAGGACGAGGAGGACGAGGAGGAGGAGGACGAGGAGGACGAGGAGGAGGAGGACGAGGAGGACGAGGAGGAGGAGGACGAGGAGGACGAGGAGGAGGAGGACGAGGAGGACGAGGAGGAGGAGGACGAGGAGGACGAGGAGGAGGAGGACGAGGAGGACGAGGAGGAGGAGGACGAGGAGGACGAGGAGGAGGAGGACGAGGACGAGAAGAGGAAGAAAGAGAAGAAGAAGAAGGAGAAGAGGAAGAAGAGGAGAAGGAGAAGAAGGAGGAGGACAAGGAGGACAAGGAGGAGGAGAAGAAGAAAATGGATATATAACCCGCCCTTCACTACCCGAAGGAGCAGTTTACAAATTCCTTTCCCTTCCCCACAGCAGACACCCTGTGAGGTAGGTGGGGCTGAGAGAGCTCTCTCTCAAACTGCTCGAGAGAACAGCTCCGAGAGAACTTGTGAATGACCCAAGGCCACATTAGCAGTTGCAAGTGGAGGAGTGGGGAATCAAACCCGGTGCTCCCAGTTTAGAGTCCGCGCTCTTAACCACGACACCAAACTGGCTCTCAAGAAATGCTTCTTCATATCTCCCTATAAAGACTAATTTTCTGCCCCTAAGATCAGGGGGGCAGCCCTGCTGGTCTACAGTACAAGAGCTAGATTAGGTTCCAGTAGCACCTTAAAGACTAACAAGCTTCTATCTGACAAAGGGAGCTTTGACTCTCGAAAGCCTATCGCCTGGGAATCTTGTTGGTCTTTATAAGGTGCTCCAACCCAGGTCAAGCTCTTCTGCTGCAGACCATCACATGAACACATGAAGCTGCCTTAGGCTGAATCAGACCGTCGGTCTATCAAGGTCAGTATTGCCTACTCAGACTGGCAGCCGCTCTACAAAGTCTCAGGCAGAGGTCTTTCCCATCACCTAAGCCTTTTAACGGGAGATGCCGGGGATTGAACCTGGGACTTTCTGCATGCTAAGCAGAGCCTCTACCACTGAGCCACAGCCACCTCCATTGCTCTCCAGGGTCTCAGGCTGAGATCTTTCACACCTCCTACAGTTCAGTCTTTTTAACGGGAGATGCCGGGGATTGCACCTGGGACCTTCTGCATGCCAAGCATGGTGCTCTACCACTGAGCCACAGCCCCCCCTCCATAGTTCTCCAGCGTCTCAGGCATAGGTCTTTCACATCACCTACAGCGTGGTCCTTTTTAACTGAAGATGCCAGGGATTGAAACCTGGAACCTTCTGCATGCCAAGCAGAGCCTCTTCCACTGAGCCACAGCTCCCTCCATAGCTCTTGAGGGTCTCAGGCAGAGGTCTTCCACATCACCTGCTGCCCGGTCCTTTCAACTGGAAGTGCTGGGGATTGAACCTGGGACCTTCTGCGTTTGGTGTAGTGGTTAAGTGTGCGGAGGACTCTAATCTGGGAGAACCGGGTTTGATTCCCCACTCCTCCACTTGCACCTGCTGATGTGACCTTGGGTCAGTCACAAGCCCTGGCACAGCTGTCCTTGAAAAAGAGCAGTTTGTAAGCTGCTCTGAGACTCCAAGTGAAGGGCAGGGTATAAATCCAATCTCTTCTTCTTCTTTCAAGCAGAGGCTCTACCACTGAGCCATGGCCCTTCCCCACGGACCCCCACCTGGAACTATCTTCAGGGAATGTTACATGTCTATTCCAACGGGCCTCTGCTTATCAGCAGCCGACGGGCTGAGCTGTAGCGCGCAATACCTGCAGGAGGATTCTGCAGCACTTGCTTGACCTGGGCCGGGGAGAGTTCGGTCCTGGCCAGGGTGAGGGTCACGCCAAGCTGCTGAAACTGGGTCTTGATGTTTGTTTGTTCGAAGTGAGCGTACAGGGTGGTGGCCGGGACTCGCCTCGAGGTCCCGTTTGGTGACCGCTCAACCACATAGATGACCACCTCGGTCCTGAAAGAGCAACAGAGAGAACTTAACGTTGGATAATAGTTTATTTATTTATTTAACCTTCAACTTTATATCCCGCTCGAATCCTCTTTTTCACAGAGGGTCTCAGAGCGGCTTACAATTACTAGGGAGGAGGGGGTGGGTGAGAGGAGTCCATCGTCTCAAGAGGACAACAGGTTTTTCATTTAAAAGGCACGTGCCCGGCTTGAAATATTTAAAGGGGGGTGGGCCTCCACTCCCAGACTCTCTTGTTCAAACGCCACCTGAAACCCAACCACGGAAAACCAGGCTTAGAAAGAAGTGCAGGTTCAAGACGCTGGTGGGTCACCCCATGGGCGCACGGTAAGCCAACCATTCAGTGCCCACCCCCCCTTTTACTCTGCATCGGGGTTCCCCAGCCTTTTGGAGCACGCAGGCACCGTTGGAGTTCTTAACTTAAACAAGGTTACACCGTGCAAAAATATGTTATAAATAAGTAAACTTATATAATTATAAATAAGTGTGCTTTATCCCAAATATAACAGTACGTATAAATAAGATATAATACATATACAACTACACTGAAATCAAAAGTCAAAATTCAGTCTCAAAGACATAGGAAAACGTTCCAAAGGATTATCCTGCTGTGAAAAGAAAGTCCGTTTCCTCCCGACTTCATTAGGGTGATGAAGCTTGTAACACCTTAATGAAGTCGGGGGGAAGTGAACATTGTTACACAGCAGGATAATTCTTTGGAAAGTTTTCCTACGTCAGATTTTTCATGCGTTTGGAATGGACATCTTTGAGACTGAATTTTGACTTTTGATTTCAGTGTAGTTGTATATGTATTATATCTTATATATACTTACTATTATATTTGTGATAAAGCACACCTATAACCTTTATAGATTTGGTGTAGTGGTTAAGTGCGTGGACTCTAATTTGGGAGAATCGGGTTTGATTCCCCACTCCTCCACTTGCACCTGGCTGGATGACCTTGGGCAAGCCATAGTTCTGACAGAGGTGTTCTTGAAAAAGAGCAGTTTCTGTCAGAGCTCTCTCAGCCCCACCTACCTCACAGGATGTCTGTTGTGGGGAGGGGAAGGGAAAGGAGTTTGCAAGACGCTCTGAGACTCCTTTGGGTAGTGAAGGGCGGGGTATAAATCCAATCTCTTCTTCTTCTTCTTTTACCTCACAGGGTGTCTGTGGTGGGGAGGGGAAGGGAAAGGAGTTTGTAAGCCGCTCTGAGACGCCTTTGGGTAGTGAAGGGCAGGGTATAAATCCAATCTCTTCCTCTTCTCTTCTAATTATATGAGTCTATTTATTTATTACGTATTTTTGCACGGTGTATCCTTGTTTAAGTTAAGTATTCATAGCCGTGTCCCCTGTTTATATATCTTTGGAATTCTGACACAGCGTGGTGGGCGCAGCCACAATATGGCTGGCCAGCCACAAAATGGATGCTTCAGATTACTTTCAGTCACATGGTGAAGATCTTGTGTTCTGTGACAGCAGCTGTTGCCAAAGCAACATTTTTAATAATCTGCACAGCCAATCTAATCTCCAATGGCCAATCACAGGGCTTGCTGGACAAAAGCCTCAACTGGCCCCGCCCACTTTCTAAATTCACTTGGGCACCATGTTGGGGACCCCTGCTCTGCATAGATGGAATCGGCTGGAAGACAAGTCATTGCATCAGATATCCCGTCAGGAGACAAGTCGATAAGGCTGAATTCCAACCTCACAACAAGCAGGGATTTGGTGGTTTGGGGCACAAACAGGGTTTGTTCTCGTGCACAGATTACATATCTCCTTCCCTTCCCTTCCCCACAAGAGACACCCTGTGAGGTAGGTGGGGCTGAGAGAGCTCTTTCAAGGACTGCTCTTGAGAGAACAGCTCCGAGAGAACTGTGGTTGGCCCAAGGTCACCCAGCTGGCTGCATGTGGAGGAGTGGGGAATCAAACCCAGTTCACCCACGCTCCAACCCCTACACCAAACTGGCTCTCAGGGGCTTTGGTTCCCCAGTGGGGAGAAAGCTAGGGTACAAATGAACTAACTAAATCAATACAGGTGACAACATCGGCATTCGTCGAGGCCAACTGGGGTTCGAGAGGTCTCCTGAGAGCCAAACCCAGGTTTCCCAAGCCAACCACAGTTAAAATAAACTTTGGCTTGGCTTCGTCCTGGGAAGTGAGCCAAGGGAGTCGGGGAGCTTACAGCCTGAAAGGGATGAAGAGCCGCCCCACACAGGCCGGTTACATACTGGTCGTCGGGCATTGTCTTTACACCTTCGACGTTGACACTCAGTGTCTGGTTGGAGCCCAGGATCTTGTGCAACGACTCCACGAGCTGCTGCTGCTGGCTCCGGATCTCTGCCTCCTTTTTGTTGAAGACCAGGGCGACCAGGCCGTCCTCGTCCTTGTTGCTGGGCATGCAGCAGTAGCCCACGGCCTGTAACAAACCAAAGGAAATGAGCGCCAGCCTGGGAAGAGACGGCTCCGTCGAGGGCAGGGCAGTTCCCACCTGCTCTGCTCCCTTCCTCCAGATCCAGTGTGATGATCCCATGTTTTGGTGTGTGTGTGTGTCTTTAAATGTTGCGTTTGACTGCAGTAATACAAGGAGGGCGATAGGGGGAGATGAGTGTGCTGTGATTGGCAAGTGACCGAGGGCGATTTCTCACTAGAGCTGCCTCGGCAGCACAGGGCCGTTTGCCCCAACACAAACATGTCAATTTCACACCTGAGGCTCCGCAGTTTCATGATTCTCAAAAACCAGGATCACGAAACTGCGGAGGAAATCGGGCGAAGCCCCGAGTCAAAATGCAGCCCCGGAGCTTCGGATGTGAAATTGACATGTTTGTGTCGGGGCAAACGGCGCTGTGCTGCGAGGCAGCTCTAGTGAGAAATCAGCCCTTGTGTTTGCATCTGGGAAACAAAGGGCAAGTGAAACAAAGAGAAGTCTGCGATGCATTTGCATTATAACCCGCTTTTCTCCCCACAGCTGGGATTCAAAGCGGCTTAGAACATCACTCCCCCCCCTTCCATTCTCTTACACCAACAAACCTGTGAGGTAGGCCAGGCTGTGAGTTTACGATGGGCCCAAGGTCACCCAGCCAAGCTGCCGTGGTTGAAGTAGGAATTTGAACCCAGGTCGCCCTGGGTTCGAAACAAGTCGTGTCTAAACTGTGTGGTTAGACAAATGTTTTGTCTTGTGGGCCTAAGAGAAAGAGCTTAGCCAGTGTGGCTACATATACGAGAGAGAGCAGCCTGTCAGCGTGGAATTTTGGTGTCTGAGAGACTGTGTGTGACACCTTGCCAGTTACATTTACAAGTTCCTTTCCCCCCAAAGAGTTAAAGATAACCAGAATCCCTTTTTTGTTCTTTATTCAATAAATCAATTTTTGTTTAAACGTATCCCAGAAGTCAGTACAGTCCTTCCTCAGGGCCACATAGTCCTCCGAAGTGCCCAGACCCGGGGTCATACTACCAAGAGAGAGAGAATTGGAATTTTTAATTCCTGGTGGCAGCAGAAAACTACCAAGTTTATATACGCAGAGGGTGGGTTAAAGGAGAAACAGTCTCCCCAAATAGCAAGCACGCCACATCCAGCAACTCGAAAGGAAGCTTCGTTCTAGGAGTGAAGGAAGGGAGTGCCTATCGACGTGGGGAGAGACTGTCTCATCACTGGAAGGGAGGTTCAAAGCAATCCCTTACCCCTTAAGGCTCTGTTCTTGCTCTCTGGGTGAAACTGACTCCATAGAACAAAACTGTCCTAACTATACAAAGGTCCAATCGGAAAGTGTTAGCCCACTGTTAGAAAGATTTCCTGGGAGATCAAATAAAATCAAGCTTGATTATCTCCTGTCAGATAGAAACCACCAGACTACTCGACAGGTGGCTAAATTATGTGCTCAGGTTTACAAGCACCGAAAATCCGTTTTGGCGGCATGACTTTGTAGTTATTTGGCACGATTTTGTATGTTTTTAAGACTTGATTTTGTCTCTTTTTATCAACCCAACTGTATTGCTGGTCGCTGGCTTTTGCATTTCTCAATCAAACTGTACTGCTGGTCTCTGACTGTTGTAATAAGAGTGCACGCAGAGGTTCCCAGGTTCAATCCCTGGCATCTCCAGTTAAAAGGATAAGGTAGCAAGCAGTGACTTTGACCCCAAGATCCTGGAAAGCTGCTGCCAGTTTGTGTAGACAACACTGACCTTGACAGACAGAGTTCCAATATGTATATAGGTTTAATATAAAGTTCTATGGTTTTACTGTTTTTTTAATGTTGAAAACTAATAAAATAGTATTAAAAAAAAAAAAAAGACCAAGCAGTAGGTGATGTGAAAGACCTTTGGCTAAGACTCTGGAGAGCAGCTGCCAGTCTGAGTGGACCATGCCGACCTTGATGGACCAAGGGTCTGCTACAGTATAAGGCGGCGTCATGTGTGTGTACCCCTCATTCCCTATCTCAGAAAGGTTTATCTGTGAGTGTGCCGGATATACAATCAGCTGACTGGTTATCTGCCTGTCCATTAATGTTCTTTTAACTGGTTGGGCAGGCCTCCTTTTAAAGCAAATTGCACTGATGCAAGAAGAAGAAGAAGAAGAAGAGATTGGATTTATACCCCGCCCTTCACTTGGAGTCTCAGAGCGGCTTACAAACTCCTTTCCCTCACCCTTTGAGGTAGGTGGGGCTGAGAGAACTCTGACACAAACTGCTCTTTTTCGAGGACAGCTGTGCCAGAGCTTGTGACTGACCCAAGGTCACATCAGCAGGTGCAAGTGGAGGGGTGGGGAATCAAACCCGGTTCCCCCAGATTAGAGTCCGCACACTTAACCACTACACCAAACTGGCTCTCATACAACACCAAAGAGCTGTCAAAGGCAAACCTGCAGCATGCCAATCAAAACAGCAGAGCAGCTTAACTTCCTCAGAACATAGGAACAGCCCTACTGGAGCAGACCAAGAGAGCCTATGAACAGAAGGACTGCAGCACCATTCTCCCATGGGTACTCCCCAGCAACTGACTTAAAGAGGCGTCGTGCCTCTGGTCTTGGAGGGAGTAGATCATGAAAGTAGCCACTGGTAGCCCAGTCCTCCATGAATTTGCCCACTCCCCTTTTAAAGCCTTCCGAGCCGGTGGCCGTCACCACATCCTCCGCATGCCCAGAAGGATTTCGATGCTCGGTAGCTGAGCCGCGGCTTCCAAGAAAGCCAGCGGGGAGATTCCACAACCGGCCTTCCGTACCTTAAATCTGCAGAACGGGTTTTCCTGCGTGAACTCCACCGGGGCGCTGTTGCTGTTGAAGTAGCCTTTGCCCGTGCCCCAAAACGCCTGCAGCTGGTTCCACTTGGCCAGAATGGCATCCCGTTCATCTCCTAAGAGGGTGGGGGCAGACAAGGCGCTGGCGGTGTTGATCAGCTGGCTGGACTGGGAGGGGGCTTGAGCAGGCTGGCTGAAGAGGCTGCTGAGGGCTGTATCGGATGGGAAGAGAGGGGGGTCACTGGGCTGGAAGCCACAGACGTCATCTGAGGGCTGGTGCGGAGAAGCGGTTAGAATCAATGCTCCCTCTAAGCTGCGGGGTCTTGTGAGCCAAAATTCTACTTTGTGATCTCCTGGCATTAAAGTTGTGAGCGAGTGACTCGGCTACTGCATAGATTGGTTTGCTCTGGAGCCATCCTTCCTGAGCTAAGACAGAAATGTGTGAGCCAGAGGAGGCTAAAAAACTGTGAGATAGCTCACGCTAACTCAGCTTAGAGGGAACACTGGTTAGACTGTCAGACTAGGGCCTGGGAAAGCCAGGCTGGGATCCCCATGCTGTCGTGGAAGCCCGCTGGGTGGCCTTGGGCAAGCCACACGCTCTCAGCCTCACCTACCTCACAGGGGGGTTGTGAGGGTTAGGCCAAGGGTCCCCAACGTGGTGCCCAAGGGGCGCCATAACTCCCACCAACACTTCCCTGGCGCCCGTCAAGTGTTTTTAGAAAGTGGGCAGGGCCAGGTGGGGCTTTTGCCCAGCAAGGCTTCTGATTGGCTGTGCAGATGCTTGAAAAGACGGCTTTGGCAGCAGCTGCCCCCACAGCACAAGGGTCTCCACTTTGTACCTGAAGGTAAGCTGCGGCGGCCATCTGGTGGCTCTGCCTCCACCCTCCTGTACAGCCATTTTGCGGCAGCCATATTGCGGCTGCGCCCACCACGCTGTGTCGGAACTCGAGGGGTGCCTGGAGGCTCAAAAAGATTGGGGACCCTTGCACTAGGCAGTCTGGGAAGTACAGGCCCATCCCCTCCCCACAAAAAGACCTTGGGCAAATCAAACAATAAATTTTGGAGGAGGATCTCTCTCTCTCTCTCTCTCTCTCTCTCTCTCTCTCTCTCTCTCTCTCTCCATACGGCTATCACCTTAAGCAGAAATTAGAACCAATTTTTTTTTTAAAAAAAAGACCTTACTCAGTATTATTTCTCTTATATTTGATTATTGCGCCTATGAATTTTGCAACTGGGAGGGTGACACCATCATTGGTATCTGATAGAGGCCATGACACCTGGGCTCGCACCTTTAGCAGTTCCGCATCTTTAAGTAAAGGGGTGGCTAAATTAGCCCGCAACTCGTTGAGTATAGGGCACTCCATAATCATATGTATGGTTTCAATTGTACCATATGAGCATCTGCATGTTCTATCAGAGCATGATACTCTAGAAGAAGAAGAGAAGAGATTGGATTTATACCCCACCCTTCACTACCCAAAGGAGTCTCAGAGCAGCTTACAAACTCCTTTCCCTTCCCCTCCCCACAACAGACACCCTGTGAGGTAAAAGAAGAAGAGATTGGATTTATACCCCGCCCTTCACTACCCAAGGGAGTCTCAGAGCAGCTGACAAACTCCTTTCCCTTTCCCTCCCCACAACAGACACCCTGTGAGGTAGTTGGGGCTGAGAGAGCTCTGGCAGAAACTGCTCTTTTTCAAGGACAGCTCTTATCAGAACTACGGCTTGCCCAAGGTCATCCAGCCAGGTGCAAGTGGAGGAGTGGGGAATCAAACCCGGTTCTCCCAGATTAGAGTCCGCGCACTTAACCACTACACCAAACTGGCTCTCTATTATATCTGCCCTCCAAAACCGCCGAGGGAAGAACGTTCATGCTTGTCAAAGTAAAAACTCTTCTTAGTTGTGGGACTGTCAATGGATAAAAATATTTCGGCGGTTGCATCGGGAGGGCAATTCCCAAATGGAGTGCCGAACATATCCTGTGTGCCCTAACAGACGTACTTATAGCATCCAATTTCCTTACACATTTTCTAATTTTGTCTTATAATGTCTTTTGTTTCTGTAGTCTTAATCATCTCATTTGCTATTCCTTGTTGTTGTTGTTGTTCAGTCGCACAGTCGAGTCCGACTCTTCGCGACCCCATGGACCAGCTCCCGCCAGGCTATTCCTAGGCATTTCATTTTCTTTTCCAATAGTTGATCCCACTGGCTATAATGATCGTCTGCTGAACAGTGTGTGTTTGTACTTCCATGGCTCAGCCCTGGAACCTAAGCATAAAAGAACAGGGCGGCACGGCCACAAGCACAAACTCGGTTCACTTTTCCTGAAGTCAAAGGCGGGATGCGTTAAAGGGTGGTGTACTCACTTGGCTGCTGCTGGGTGCTGAAGCCCCCAAAGCCCAACCCGGTTCCCAAACCGGTCCCAAGGCCAGTCCCGGTGCCTGCTGCGGTCCCAAAGCCGGCGCCGAATCCAAAACCTTTGTTCTGAGTAGCACCGAAGAGCCCTTGGGAGAAGTAAAAACGACACAGACATGACACAGGGAGATGATTTGCGAAGTTACAAGCAGACTGCCCCAAAACAGGCAATGAGAAGAAGAGGAGGAGGAGGAGGAGACTGGATTTATACCCCGCCATTCACTACCCAAGGGAGTCTCAGAGCAGCTTACAAACTCCTTTCCCTCCCCCTCCCCACAAGAGACACCCTGTGAGGTAGGTGGGGCTGAGAGAGCTCTGACAGAAACTGCTCTTTTTCAAGAACTACGGCTTGCCCAAGGTCATCCAGCCAGGTGCAAGTGGAGGAGTGGGGAATCAAACCCGGTTCTCCCAGATTAGAGTCCGCGCACTTAACCACTATGCCAAACTGGCAGAAACACAAAGGTGCGCTTGGCACAGGAGGCTCTTACCTTGGGCGCTTGTGTTGGCAGGGGTGGAGAAGCTAAACGTCGGCCCGGCTGTGGTGGTGGTCGTCCCAAAGCCGCCAAAGGCTCCTGGTAAAGCAAATGTGTGAGTCAAACAGGAGAGCCAGGCTGCTTTGCACAGAGAGTTTAAACACATGCTGGGAGGGTCTTTTTCGGAAGGGAGATGGTGACAAATGAATGCTGTGGATGTGATCAAGGAAACATCCCACACTTGCCCTGACCTGGATAGCCAGACAAGCCTGATCTCGTCAGATCTCGGAAGCTGAGCAGGGCCGACCCTGGCAAGTACTTGGATGGGAGACCTCCAAGGAATACCAGGGCCGGGACGTAATAGCAAGCCACCTCTCTCAAACGTCCAAGCCCCACTAAGGGTCGCCGGAAGTCAACCGTGACTTCCAGGCACACATACATACACCCAAAATACTCACCAAAAAAAGAAAAGAAAAAGGAACACCCCACACTCTCCCACTGCCTGCCCCTGGGCTAGAGTGGTGTGATCTGCAAGGATAAAGTTGCCTGTGCTAACATAGCTGTTTCATCTCCATTGTCAACCTGGGATCCGTTTTTCTTTATAGGACTCACTATTAAGATCAGAGAAGCTCATCCCAATTGTTATTTATATACATAATACATAAATATGGTGGCGGGAAGGGCTGTCCTGTCACGGCCAACTTATTTATTTATCAGATTTATATCCCGCCCTCCCAGCCCAAGCCGGCTTACGTAAAAGAATAGAAACACACAATTAAGCAGTTTCAATAATCCTAAAACCATATAAAACATTCCAACATTAAAAGGTGCTGGACATTAAATAATACTAGTAGATTAATATTATTAGGTTATTAGATGACGGCGGCCAACCTTCAGTGAACTAACCTAGTGGGCAGCCCATAGATCTAACCCTTTATGTGGCTGACACAGGCTGTTTCTGGTGACTCCAGGGAAGAGGGTTCTCTGCCATTCCAGCTATTGGGGACGGCTCCTAATTGAAGGCCTGGTGGAAGAGCTCCGTCTTGCAGGCCCTGCGGAACTGCATGAGGTCCCACAGGGCCCTGATCTCTTTTGGGAGGGTTTTCAAGGCAAGAGTCATTCAGAGGTGATTTGCCATTGCCAGCCTTTATGTAGGAAACCTGGACTTCCGTGGTGGTCTCCCACCCAAGTATAAACCAGGGCAGACCCTGCTTTGCTTCCAAGATAGATGAGATTCGGCTAGCTTGGGCTAGCCAGGTCGGGGTATATCTCTATATCTAGGTGTACCTTTGTGCTAACGTCTATCCACTGGCCATGTATCCCTGACCTAGTATGCACATACAAATGCAATACCTGTGTTTGAAGAAGACTTTAGAGCGTATGTGCTCATTAAAGAGCCTGGAATGAAACCTGAGAATCACAGGGATGCATAGGTGGTTAATGTTGATCAATATCCTTCAAATTATATTTATGAGACAGAACTTTTTTTGACTAACCAGGCACAAAAATTCACCTCTCTGCGTCTAAGGAGGCACCCACAGAAAAGTTATTGGCTAGTTCGGGGGATTTATTTCTTATTTATTTATTTAATTTACATCCCGCCCTCGCTACCATTCTATACCACGGCTTTCAGGCTATTACTTATCCTACTAGAATCAGTTTCAACAAACACCCAGTCAGCTCAATTTCTGCACGGGAGGGACTGTGGCTGAGGGGCGGAGCATCTGCTTGGCACGCGGAAGGCCCCAGGTTCATTCCTTGGCACCTCTAGTTAAAAGGAACCGAGCAGGAGGTGATGTGAAAGGCCTCCACCGGAGACCCTAGAGAGCTGCTGCTAGCCTGAGTAGACAACACTGATTTTGAGGGACTAATGGTCTGATTCAATAAAAGGCAGCTTCATGCGTTCAAGTTGTCAGATGCACCGATTCCGCCCATAAAAACCTTCCTGGGGAAGAGCACTAAACTGTCCCAGTTAAATATTAATTATAAAACCATTATGGTTGAAGAAGGAGATTGGATTTATACCCTGCCCTTCACTACCCAAAGGGGTCTCAGAGCGGCTTACAAGCGCCTTCCCCTCCCCCTCCCCACAGCAGACACCCTGTAAGGTAGGTGGGGCTGAGAGAGCTCTGGCAGAAACTGCTCTTTTTCAAGGACAGCTCTTATCAGAACTACGGCTTGCCCAAGGTCATCCAGCCAGGTGCAAGTGGAGGAGTGGGGAATCAAACCCGGTTCTCCCAGATTAGAGTCCGCGCACTTAACCACTACATCAAACCTGTATGTACATCACAAGGTACACCTGATTTACAGACCCCTTTAAAAAAAGTTATCTACGGCCTCGGCCACACGGGCAGGAAAATGCGGGGGGGAGGCGTGGCTGTTTGCCCCAGAGCAAACTAATGCGCGACTGCGCGATCAGGCGTTGGGTTGAGGTCCCGTCGAGCTCCCGTGGTTAGGCGGGAGGTGCCAATCACACGATGCGGCAAAGAAGCGGAGCGGAGCGGCAAACGGGGTTGTGTTTTATTTTTAAAACTGAAATGTGCGCATGCTCCGTTGGGTGCTTGTGCGCATCCGTGGAGACTTGTAAAAAAAACAAACTTTTTGCGAGGGGACATGGGCGGGCGCGAGAACTACCATCAGAAACGCGACCAGACGCCCGCCTTTGCCCCGCGGTTTCCGGAAACTAGTACCTCCGAGGTACTAGTTTTTACCCCGCATCTTCGGCGGGAAGCCTCGGGTGCGCCACGGGAGCTCTACACTTCCCAGATGTGGCAGTGAGATCGCGCCCGGAAAATCTGCCTATCTTCTGTCTCTCTAGCGTGCCTAATGCTCCGTGTGACCGGGGCCTATTTCATGCAACTGGAGGTCCCAAGAGAGGCTTAGAACAATAATCAGCACCCAATTCCAAGTTATGCCTTTTAGATCATCCCTTGCCCTCAAATGACCCGGCATGAATTTTATATAAACAAAACAATGTTGTGTGTCATGGAAGCCATTCAGACTAATCAGAAAGCAAATGAATATTATTAGAATCAGCACCTGAAGGAATGATGTCTTTAATGGCTAAGATGATAATTACACGGAACAAGAATGAAGAGTGCTGCATGTTACAGTACAACCACAAGGGGACTATGGAATGGATATAATTTCCTATACGAACAGCTGGCAAGAAATACCATGTTAATATTAAATATATTAAAATGTTGGATATTAAAACACTGGACGTTAGAGCCAGGCATATTCTGCCCCAAAGGACAGATCTATGCCTGGTTATTCAAAAGAAAGCAAAATTCGAGTATCAACTCAATCCGCAACAAACAGATAAGTAGTAAATTACAGTGTTTAAAAGTCAGGGTATTCTTTTCCCCCCAAACCCAGCTTATTTTCGCATATTTAAAATAACACAAGTGACAACTCCTCGAAGATCAGATTCAAAGACTTTTGGCTGATCGTATAAAAGTTATTTCTGCACAGAACCTTGGTAAAAGTGCGGTGGAGATTCAGGGTGACTAAAATTCAATGAAGAGACACAGAGGAAAGAGGGGGGGGGGGAAACATATATGCAGTAGAGTCCAAGAATTCAAGAAACAAGAAGATGCCTTTTAAAGATTGACCGTGCAATTGCTCAGCATATTACCAAGTAATCACAGTTTTATATTTCCTACTGCAATGTGTGAGACACCCAAATTTAGCCTGCACAATTAGGATGCTGAGACACCTGGGCTCCGATCCAGACACTGCTTGTGGGTGCGACAGTTCTGGAGTGGGCACAATCATTCACTGACACAGACTAACTCTTTTTGTGCACAAAAGGAGTTGGATCATACTGCTTTCCCAATAAAATTAATCAAGGAGCTTCCATGGCCAAAAAATCCACGTGGACACTTGAAACTAAGAAGAAGAAGAGATTGGATTTATACTCTGCCCTTCACTACCCGAGGGAGTCTCAGAGAGGCTTACAATCTCCTTCCCCTTCCCCACGAGACACTCTGTGAGGTAGGTGGGGCTGAGAGAGGAGTGGGAAATCAAACCATGTTCTCCCAGATTAGAGTCCATGCTCCTAACCACTACACCAGCCTATGTTTCACACAGTAATATGGAAGCACCAGCGTTAGACAAGTATTTGCTGTGATAAAGATGTAGTAAGGTGTGAAGGGAATGACAATATACAGAATAGTTGCTGCAAAGTGCACACAATGCCAGGGAGTAAAGTCAATCATACCAGCCCAGCATATATCTACCATGAGCTCCTATCTGAGAATATATGAAGGTACACTTTCCATAGTTTACTTTTGTTCTGGCAAATTGTGTCTGCAAGACTCTTGATGGATCTTGAATACACGGTGACCTGGATTGGGCCTCTGGCATATAAAACCAGTTTAAAAAGCAAAAATTATTTAAATATCTCCCGGAACAAAAGCAAAGCAATAAGCCTGTCAGCATCTCAGTCCTGAGCACATTATTTTGAAGCACGCCCCATGGATCTCAAAGGAACCTGCCAACCACAAGGGAATTCTTGGACTCTTATCTGCAATGATGCAATTACAAACACCATGTGTGCGCATTCTCTACCTGCACTGGGCAAACTGTTACCAAAATTGAATGGTGGCGCCGAGGTAGCAGACACACCAAAATTCCCAATATTAAAATTCACTGCGGGGTTCGGCGTTAAGCCGAAACCCCCAAAATTAAACCCACTGGCAGCGGAGTTTCCTGTTTCAAGGCCACCAAATCCTGACGAGTGGGAAGCAGAAAGAAAGCAAGGCAGGATTAGTCAGGGGGGGAAAGTCACTCATTAAGCAGTATAATTATTTCTGAACAGTAGAACCGAAAAAATGCAAAAGCACAGAAGGGGGGAAAACGTTGTTATCATGTCAAGTAAAAGATGTTAAGGACAAGAGAGTTGTTCTCCTATATCTCCTGTTACCTTTCCACCCCCACAATTCAATACTTCTTTACACAGAGAGTGATTCAAATGTGGAACCCCCTGCCAGAGGATGTAGTGATGGCCACAGGAATAAACACCTTTAAAAGAAGATTAGATAGATTCACAGAGGATAGGTCTATCAGTGGTTACTAGCCATGGTGACTGAGCCACCAGGGCTCTTCTGATGTTCTTATGAAGGCCTCGGCCTCCATGCCCTGTTGTTGGCAACCCAGAAGAACGAGTTGGCCACTTGTGTGAGGCAGGATGCCGGACTAGATGGACCCTCACTGGTCTGACCCAGCAGGGCTCTTCTCATGTTCTTATGAAGGCCTTGGCCTCTATGCCCTGTTAGATGACCCTCCAGAGGAACTGGTTGGCCACTGTGTGAGACTGGATGCTGGACTAGATGGACCTTCACTGGTCTGACCCAGCAGAGCTCTTCTGATGTTCTTATGAAGGCCTCGGCCTCCATGCCCTGTTGTTGGCCGTTCAGAAGAACTGGTTGGCCACTGTGTGAGGCAGGATGCTGGACTAGATGGACCACTGGTCTAACCCAGCAGGGCTTTTCTTATGAAGGCTTTGGCCTCTATGCCCTGTTAGATGACCCTCCAGAGGAACTGGTTGGCCACTGTGTGAGACAGGATGCTGGACTAGATAGACCACTGGTCTGACCCAGCAGGGCTTTTCTTATGAAGGCCTTCTCTGTGCCCTGTGGTTGGCCGCCCAGAAGAACTGCTTGGCCACTTGTGTGAGACAGGATGCCGGACTAGATGGACCTTCCGTGGTCTGATCCAGCAGGGCTCTTTGTATGTTCTTATGAAGGCCTCGGCCTCTGTGCCCTGCTGTTGGCCCTCCAGAGGAACTGGCTGGCCACCACGGTGAGACAGGGTGCTGGACTAGATGGACCACTGCTCTGATCCAACAGGGCTCTGCTGGTGTTCTGATGACTCTATGGCGTCATACTCAGCTGAGTTCCCTCCCCTCCCCCAAACTCCACCCCCCCAAATCTCCAGGAATTTCCCAACCCAGAGTTGGCAACCTTATTATAAGTTGCCCAGGCGGCCAAGAACCGTAAGCCCCCGCCCACACTTTTCAGGATAAGCCCACCAAGAAAGCGACGCCTCTCCCCCGGCCCTCCCCGCACGTGAGCCCCCTGCTGCTGCCCGCCCCGCCCCGCCCCACCCCTAATGGCCCCCCAGGCGCTCTGAGCTCAACCACTGCCCCCTATATTGCCCCCTATATCAATATAGGGGGTGGTGGCTCAACACCCCCAAGGGCGAGGGGGGCGCCGGGAGAATCCGTGTCGACTTTCCCGAGTTGCTCAGCCAGCCGAAGCGGGGCTGCTGCGCCCACTGTGCAGGCTGGAATGCAACCGGTGCGGCTCCCCCAGGCCGGGGAAGCGACTGCCGGCTTTCTGCCTGTCACGCAACAGGCGCGCCGGCGAAGGGACGAAGCGAACGCCGACCTGTGAGAGGCCGCCGGTTGCCAGGGAGACAAGCCCCTGCGGTTGCTATGGAGACCAGGCTCCCCGGTGCCCACCCCGGCAGAGGCAACCGCTCCCCCCAATCCTTCCCGCCCCGGCAAGTCCTCTCGCCTTCCCGCCGGCCCTCACCCGCAGGGTTTGCGGTGGTCGCAGCGCCGGCGGCTGTTCCGAAGTTGAAAGCCATGAGGCGGCCGCAAGGAAGGCGGCGGCGGCGGCGGCGGCTCCGAAACCCGGGAAAGTCCGACAGTTCTAGGGTCCGGCTGAAAACACTAGCCCCGAAGGGAAAGGTTCCGGACAAGCTGCGGGGCCGGGGAAGGATTACGCGGGGACACAGCCCCGGCTTCCGGTTTGTTTTGCAACCCAAGCGGTGGATGACATTTAAAAAATGCAGACAAGGTTTGCGTCCAGTGGCCCCTTTAACAGCAGCAAAGTTTTATTCAAGGTATCAGCTTTCGTGTGCATGCACACGTCTTCAGATACATTGAAACGGAACCTTGAAGACGAACGAACTTTTTTGCAACATCAGCTTTCGAGAAACACAGCTCTCTTCGTCAAGTACATCTACAATAAAGTTTCTTGGTCTTAAAGGCGCTACTGGGCTTTTTCCTACTGAAATGGCAGTTACCAATCCACTCCATACATATAGGTAGAGGGTGAGCTGCAAATTAGCATACAGCATAATGAAGGCGTTTAACAGATGCAAGGACCAAACTGGAGTAACAAGCTTAGTTTATATGGTCGCCATTTGTTTGGGTTTAATTCCTGGGGGAAACATAGAGAAATAAATAAATATATCGAAACAGGAGACTGATGGGCAGATGTACCCTTCTTAATTGTGGAAGCTTAGAGTAATTAACTGAGAATCTGCTAATATATTTATTAAAAGCGATTAAAGTGATGCAAACCATGTAAAAGCTCAGAAGTTCTTCGGAACACTTCCTCAGCCTGGATATTTTAGACTGGGTCTCATTTGCAAATAGGGTTGCTACCAGCCAGGGATGGGGCCTGGGGAGGGCCACAGAGCAGGGGTGTCAAACATGCGGCCCGGGGGCCATATCAGGCCCCCGGAGGGCTTCTATCAGGCCTGCAGTGGAACTAGCTGTCTTCTGCTTCTTCCAGTTCTGCTGCTGCTGCTGCGTCATCGTAAGTTTGCAGCTTACAGATACACACCTGAGCAGCATACTCAAGATTGAAACAGCACAGACATTTTGATGCAGTAATTCAGAGCAAGAGGTGTCAGTTATCAGACACTGTTAAATAAACAAAATATTGCAAGTGCTAATGTTTTAAGCATGATTTCATTTTAAGTTAAAAAAAAACACCTTTGTGTTTCTGTCCTTCATAAAGTTTCTATCTCCGCTACCTGGCATTACATTTTATGACACGCATGGCCCGGCCCAACAAGGTCTCATTTATGTCAGATCCGGCCCCCATAACAAATGAGTTCAACACCCCTGCCATAGAGACCACCTGCCAAAGCATCCCTTTTTCTCCAGGGGTGCTGATCTCTATAGTCCGGAGATTATCTGTAATTCCAGAGGATCCCCAGGTCCCACCTGGAGGCTGGTATCCTTAGGCCTGCAAACTCTGACTTGGGAAATTCCTGGAGATTTGGGTGTAGTGCCTGGGGCAGGACTTCAAATCTAAAATCTTCAAATCTATAATCCACAGCTGCCTTTTTCTCTAGGGGAACTTCCGAACTGATGTCTGTAGTCTGAAGATCAGGGATGTAGAATAATGTGGACTAACTCAAGTCTCATCACATCTGGAAGCTAAGCAGGGTCAGTGCTTGGATGAGGGACAATCAAGGACCACTGGGAGGAAGGCAATGACAAACTAGCTCTGCTTCTCACTCGCCGTGAAAAGTCTTTGCTGGGGTTGCCATAGATCAGTTGCGATTTGATGGCACATACATACACAGTCTGGAAACAAGTTGTGATGTAGTTCTGGGGGAAACTGCAAGCCCTGCCCTGAGGCTGGTAACCTTACTATAACATTCAATTTTCACTTAAACTTATCTCGTTTACCTTTGTAAACCGTTTATCTTTCTTATGACCCACCATTTCTAATTGCTTAATTATGTTTCAGAGATGCGGAGTTAATACTTTGAAGTTTTACAATGGCACTACCATCACCCTATCTCTTTTCCCCACAGAGTGAATCTACACTTGAAAGGCTCATGGTGAAATTAACCCTCTGCCTTGTAACCTGTCCCATATTGAAATAAAGGAGCTGCCGGGAATTTTGCTTTATCTTGATCACAAAACTTCTTGTTTGGTGTAGTGGTTTCTCCTGATACTTAGCCGGTATCGACTCCCTTGTCATTTCCACCCATTAGATCTAGTCTTGCAATCCGGAGCAAGAGAGAATAGATCTGCTCCATCTTCTACATGACAGCCCTTCGAATATTTGAAGACTGCCATCATGTCCCCTCTAAGCCTTCTCTTTCCCAGGCTAAACAGACCCAACTCTTTCAGCCTTTCCTCATTTGGATTCTAACCCTTTCTAGAGAGCCAGTTTGGTGTAGTAGTTAAGTGTGCGGACTCCAATCTGGGAGAACCGGGTTTGATTCCCCACTCCTCAACTTGCAGCTGATGGATGGCCTTGGGCAAGCCATAATTCTGTCAGAGCTGTTCTTGAAAGAGCTCTCTCAGCCCCACCTACCTCACAGGGTGTCTGTTGTGGGGAGGGGAAGGGAAAGGAGTTTGTAAGTGGCTCTGAGACTCCGAGTGAAGGGCGGGATATAAATCCAATCTCTTCTCTTCTTTTTCATAAGAATATAATAATTAATAATTATCATATGGTATCGTGTGTAAAATAGCCAGGAAATCCTGAGATTGTCCGGCATCCAGAAGTTCTAGCTCTTTAGCATTCTGCACCACTAGGTGGTGAGCTAGAGTTCTTTTTGAGGCCAGAAACATGTCAGAGGTGGTTTGCCATTGCCTGCATCATGATCCTGGTATTCCTTGGAGGTTGCCCTTCCAAAAACTAGCCACGGCCAACCTCGATTAGCTTCCAAGATCTGACAGGATCAGGTTAGCCTAGACTAACCAGGTCAGAGCATAAGAACATCAGAAGAGCCCTGCTGGATCAGACCAGGGATCCATCTAGTCCAGCATCCTGTCTCACAGCCAGTTCCTCTGGAGGGCCAACAGAACAGCATAAGAAGAGCTCTGCTGGATGAGGCCAGTGGTCCATCCAGTCCAGCATCCTGTCTCACCCAGTGGCCAGCCAGTTCCTCTGGAGGGCCAACAACAGGGCACAGAGGCCGAGGCCTTCTCCTGATGTTGCCTCCCGGCTCTTTGTGAGTCACTGCTTACTTCTTCAGATTGTTATATCTCGTTTCCCAGGAAGGTCGGATCAGGATAAACTTGGATGACTACAACCATATTACTTTCTGAACAGCAAGGTTTGCTGTGGCTGCCATAACCCTGAGGAAGAAGTGTGCTAGTATTAGTATGGTTGACCTGCATACCAATTTCTCTGCTCTGGGTCATTAGCCATTTGGATTGTAAGGCAGTTTTGAGATATTTTAAATGATTATCTTTCTTATGAACCTATTTGGACTATTTTTTGGTTTGGTTTTGGATCGATTTGGTCTGAAGCGGCAGAAAAAAGTTTTATTTTAAGCCCAACAAAGTTTTATTTTAAGCCCAACAAAGTTTTATTTTAAGCCCAACAAAGTTTTATTTTAAGCCCAACAAAGTTTTATTCAAGGTGTTAGCTTTCATGTGCAAAGCACACTTTGCCTGAAGAAGTTTTCTTTGGACAGGAAAGCTTGCACTTTGAATAAAACTTTGTTGGTCTTAATGGATTAAGAACATAAGGGAAGCCAGTGCTGGATCAGGCCAATGGCCCTTCCAGTCCAACACTCTGTGTCACACAGTGGCCAAAAATACCAGGTGCCATCAGTAGGTCCGGCAGTGGGGCCAGGACACTAGAAGCCCTCCCCCTGTTGACCCCCCCCCCAAGCACCAAGAATACAGTGTATTACTCTCCCCAGACTGAGAGTTCCTATTGATACCTAGTGGCTAATAGCCACTGATGGACTTCTGCTCCATATGCTTATCTAATTCCTTCTTCAAGCTGTCCATGCTTGTAGAGTCAGACTCTGTTCTACTTTAAGATACGTGAGCCCGACAATAATTGAGCCAAAGTTATCCAGCAAGTTTCACGGAAGTGCCGAGATCTGAACCCAAGTGTCTTCGTTCAGCACTCTTAACATGCTTCTGGAGGTGGGGCAGGCTCCCTCGCCCAGCAAAGGGAAGAACAAGTAAAACACACATACTGCTCCGAGCCTGGCACCAAATGATTCATTTGACCTATGGCAAGCCAAGGCAAGGTTTTTGGGGAGGGGGAAAAGTCATCTTCTTTTGCTCAGTCGTGTAGCTTCAGTCTTCTTAGAATATGGCTGCTTGTTAGAATCTTTCACCTGGATCATGGCTGCTTGTTAGAATCTTTCACCTGGATCATTTCAGAGGGCCGCTGGGCTAGTCTGCAGTGGGACAGCCAGATGTGAGTCCAATAGCACCTTAGAGACTTAGAAGATATTCGGGGTATCCGTTTTCGAGAGTCCAAGCTTGGACGAAGGATGCTTTCTCCCTCCCAAGCGCATACCCTGAAAATCTTGTTGGCAGGAGTTTTTTTTTCGTTTTTGTTTTTAACTCTCAAGAAGGAAATGAAGTTTTTCAATCTGTATACTGAAAACTCATGAACTTTTAAACGTTTTAAAAAAGAATTCTGTCAAAGAGGTTCTGGAACTCCGTTTTGGTGCGTCCGCCCCAGAAAAAAAAGCCTTGCTTGGTGGTCTCCAAGCAGCTCCTGGGCTTGAATCTAGCGGTTCACTTGGATAATTATCAGCTAGGAGGAATAGGAAGAATTGGTTCAATCTACCATGCTTTCCTCTACACTAAGGAATCTCAGAGTGGCTTAAAGTCGCCTTCCCATCCTCTCCCCACAACAGGCACCCTGTGAGGTAGGTGGGGCTGATAAGAGTTTGGAGAGAACTTTGACTGGCCCAAGGCCACCCAGCAAGCCTCATGTGTCTCAGTGGCTTACAATCCCCTTCCCTTCCTCTCCCCACAACAGGCACCCTGTGAGGTAGGTGGGGCTGAGAGAGTTCTGCGGGAACTGTGACTGGCCCAAGGTCACCCAGCAGGACTCATGTGTCTAAAAGCAGCTTACAATCGTCTTCCCTTCCTCTCCTCACAACAGGCACCTTGTGAGGTAGGTGGGGCTGAGAGAGTTTGGAGAGAACTGTGACTGGCCCAAAGTCACCCAGCAGGCCTCATGTGTCTCAAAGAAGCTTACAATCGCCTTCCCTTCCTCTCCCCACAATAGGCACCTTGTGAAATTGGTGGGGCTGAGAGAGTTCGGAGAGAACTGTGACTGACCCAAGGTCACCCAGCAGGCCTCATGTGGAGAAGTACAGAATCAAACCCGGCTCTCCAGATTAGAGTCCACTGCTCTTAACCGCTACACCATGCTGGCTCTCCTGTTTGTAGATGGCATCACTTGACACGTACCATTTTTTAAAATCAACTGTCAATAACAGCTACCTGTCAGGATCTGCTACCTGAACCAGTATCTTCCTTTTCCTCCCCTCCCCGAGGAACAAAAATAAGAACAGATGTGATTTTTTTTCCCACAAGGGTAGTGAATGAAATAGATATTTTTTTTACTCCCCAAGGGGGAAAAATACTAACCGTGGAAGTTAAAAAAATGAAGACAAAACGCCATAAAACAAGAAAAAAATGTCATTTAATCTGAGATTCCGCATTCACGGACAAAGAATTCAGTGATACGACAACTGTCAGCTTTGTTCAGTACAGACAAGACCGAGAGTACAGAAGTCACACTAGGTGTCAAAAATGGGTTACACTCTCAGCTTCGAAGGCGCTGGGCCCGACTGACCCGGGAAAGACTGCCGCTCAACGGAAAGTAAACATTTCAAAACAGTTGACGTGTCAGGGCCCGTTCAGACATTAGCTTTCCCTTCTCGCATCGAAAATGCCCACAAACGAAGCATCATTGCGCAACAGATACACATCAGTGGGTTGGATCCCACGGATCTGGTCCATTGGCAGCTGTGCCTTCCTCTCTGGCACGAGGCATCTTCAGAACGCAAGGAACCCTTTTACGAGGAAGGGGGTGTGGCCTTTTTGCACCAGCACAAGACGTGCTGCCAATAGGTGCTGCTGTTAGGAACCAGATCAACCATGTGTCACACATGAAGCTGCCTAATACTGAATCAGACCGTCGGTCCGTCTAAGTCACCATTGTCTCCTCACACTGGCAGTGGCCCTCCAGGGACTCAAACAGAGGTCTTTCACATCTCCCACTGCCTGGTCCTTTCAACCGCAGATGCTGGGGATTGGACCTGGGACCTTCTGCATGCAAGGCAGATGCTCGAGTCACTGAACCGCAGCCCCCTCCCCTTCATTTTCTGTATTGTCCCTTATGTTCCAGTCAATAACATGAAAAGGAGATCTCTTACTGCTGGCAAAGTCCGCTGTGCAATGAGTGCGGACTGTAAGGCGAGAAGTCCTGGCTTAATGCACGTGTTTTATCTTGCACTCAGACCGGCTGTGTGTTCAATAGGGCTTGCTTGCTAGTAAGTATGCACGTGATTGCAACCTTAGCGAGGAATCTGCCACGTGCCTTTAAGTAAGCACTCCCCCCCCAAAAAAAAAGCTTAGCTCCCAGTCATCTAATATGAGGATGGCTGGCCAACCTTATGGGGTTGTTGTGTTCCCTCTAAGCTGAGTTAGTGTGAGCTAGCTCACAGTTTTTTAGCCCCCCGGCTCACACGTTTTTGTCTTCGCTCAGGAAGGAGGGCTCCAGAGCAGACTAATTTATGCAGCAGTGAAAACGCTTGCTCACAACTTTAATGCCAGTAGCTCACAAAGTAGAATTTTTGCTCACAAGACTCCACAGCTTAGAAGGAGCATTGGTTTATGGAGCTCTTTAAACACTTAGAAAAAGCATTACATGACTCCTGGATGATAAGGTGCACAGTTGCAAAGAGAACGGAAACAGTCCCAATGTCGTAGAGCGCTTCAGAGATACACTGGTGCATCCAGTTGTATCCGGAGACTTGCTGTCTTATCTCTCCAGTTAAATTAGTGCAGCTGACACTGAAAATTGTTTGGTGCAGTGGTTTTAGAACTGCGTTCCCAGGAGGCCTGGGGTTCCTCGTGGAGACCAATAATGGTAAGCTAAGCTTCCTTGAAAAACAGCCCGTCTTTCCACTACAGTGCCCATCTGGAGGAGAAAGGAACTGGTGTTCAAGGCAAGGCTACCTAATTGATCTCCAAGGGAACAAACCAGGCCTCTCAGTACCAATTACAGGAAAAAGTGCTTGTAAACTGCCATTGCAGTTATTGTGATCTCTCTGAGATCCAAATAAGAGCATGCTTGCGTTAAAGACAGAGGTAATACCTGTGAGATTTCCCGTTTAGCTACTTAGTCAGAACGAGACACTTGCCCAAAGCATTGCTTTGGAGGTCTGTCGCTTAAAACGTTCTAAGGACCAGTTTGAGTCTTTTTAAAGAATTCATTACAGGACTGTCTCCTCGTGGGAAGCAGTTTCAAAAAGTGCTATAACATAGGGCAATACTTAAAGGTTTTTTGTGCCAGTGACATACCCACGGAGACATTTATTCACAATAATACCGTTGTTTCCGATGACGGGTTTGCCACCTGGAACACTAAGTAATATACCTTGTACCAACAAAAACCACTCCCTGTGCCAGTCCTGTTACTCTGAGATAGCGTAAAACCCAAACCAGTTTTAAGCTGAAAATATCAATGATAATTGCTTTAATGCCCCAAATTTACTGGATAAGTACTGGGCACATGTCCCCCAAAGAAGTCAGTAACGTTGCAAGTCCGATTGAGAAGTCTGCAGGCCCAAACTGAAACTACCTTATATTGAAAACCAAACCACTGGTTCATCTAGCTTAGTACGCTCTCCTCCAATTGGCAGTGGGTTCTACAGGGTCTCAGCCAGAGAAAGGTCATTCCTAACACCCTTTATCTAAGATCTTTTAATCGGAGATGCCACAAATTGAACCTGGGGGCTTCTGCGTGCAAAACCAATGCTCCGCCGCTGAGGTCAAAAGGAAGATGCTGGAGATAATGCGAAGACAAGTAGCTTGCAGGCTGAAGCCCTCAGAAAGAGAGCGTGGCACTGAAATTCTTTACAGACACCCGTTCAAGTGGACTGACTTAACAATCTTCCTTATCAAAGTGGCCGAGGGCTAAACATGCAGTAACATTTTTCCATCCAGAGACTGGTTTTTAGAACATGTTCACGCGGAGGGTTCCGCCTGAACAAAGTGGCTTTCTCAAAGACAGTGCTGAACGAGACTGCTTCTTTCGATTTGCCTCAAGGGACCTCGTGACCTGGCCTCAGAGCTTTCTTCAAGTTATGCATTCATAGGAAATCCCGCAATCGTTCCTGAAGCCATCCGGTGGACACAAAGTGCAATACAATACAATAGTGCATCGGATCTATTCTGCAACCTGACGACGACGCTGAAGCCTGCCGCCTCTTCAGAACTGGAGATCTTCAGCTGCCTTGCAGGACCAGGATTTAGCCGGTCGAACAAAAGCTCCACGATTCCCTGGCATTCAGTAGCTTCCACCTGGGCAGGATTTCGCTCTGAATGTATCGTACCTAGAGGAACGCCTGAACACGCAAGAGTAAAGAGCGCAGATACATCAGGATGCGCCATCAAGAAGTAGTCGGGTTCCAAGGAGGAGAAAGTTGCATTGTGTTAGTCCAATAAATAGAAGAAGGGGTCGCGGTAGTCAAACATCTTCCTCTGGCTGGCTACAGAAGGAAGCGACGCCAAGCCACCCAGACTGTTAGTGCCTTGCAGAAATAAACGGAGGTTGCCCCAGTGGAAGTGGGGACTGCCCCCACCCGAATGCTAAACACCCTCTTAACACAACCCAGAAGTCCTCTTTAACCAGTCGTCTTTTTTTAAAAAAAACAACGGTGACATTGCAATTCCCACGCTCAATACACCAGCCTAATTGTCCTGAATTCCAAAAATTAAAAACAAAAGGCAGACCTTTAACATTACATTAGTGTAAGGGTTTGAAAGGGGGCGGTCGGCGAAGAGTACTGCGTCGTGGTGACTGTTAAGAGCAGTTTGCATAGTTCATTGGTGAGAAGGGATGGAGAAGCGGAGTCAGGATGTCCTGATGAGGGGTGCTCTCTCGTCTTCTGAACCCTGTGATGGGGGAAAAGAAAAAGGAATGAGCAGACGGAGGGCAGTGAAGTAGGGGTGGGAGAAGAGACTACACTAGATCCCATCTTTCATCTGGTGGTGGTGGAAAATACCGTCCAGTTGCAGCTGACTTGTAGGTTTCCAAGGCAAGAGGCGTTCAGAGGTGGTTTGCCATGGCCTGCCTCTACATAGCAACCAGTGTTACCTCTAAGTTGAGTTAGTGTGATCCAACTCACAGTTTTCTAGCCTCCAGCTCACACACTTTTGTGTTAGCTCAGGAAGGATGGCTCCAGAGCAAACTAATTCATGCAGTGGGCAAATCGCTCACTCACAACTTCAATGCCAGTTGCTCACAACGTAGAATTTTTGCTCACAAGACTCCACAGCTTAGAGGGAACACTGATAGCGACCCTGGAATTCCTTGGTGGTCTCCCACCCAAATGCTAACCAGGGTCACTTTTACACATTTATCTGCTATTTTGACATATTTATTCCTTTCCACCTGTTGTCCTTAAAACCTTAGCTTGCTATTTAGTTTTGCCTTTGCTCGTATTCATCATGTTACATGCAATGCTCCCTCCTGATGACGTCATCTGTTCCCTTGTTAGTTATTGTGGAGAGCACCTATGTTATATTGAATGTTTTTAAAATGCAGTTTCAATGTTTTATGTATTGGGCATTGGCCCCATCTGTATGCCGCCCTGAGCCCGTTCGCGGGGAGGGCGGGTTATAAATTTAAATAAATAAATAAAATAAGCCCGTGAAGTCTTGTGAACAAAAATTCTACTTTGTGAGCAACTGGCATTAAAGTTGTGAGCGAGTGATTTGGCTGCTGCATAAATCAGTTTGCTCTGAAGCCATCCCTTCCTGAGCTAAGACAGAAATGTGTGAGCCGGAGGCTAAAAAACTGTGAGCTAGCTCACACTAACTCAGCTTAGAGGGAACACTGGTTACATGTTTCATTTGCTGTTCAGCCCCTGTCTCTAAGTTTGAACCTTACCTACCATTCCAATGTATTTGAAAAAGTGTGCATGCGCACGGAAGCTCACACCTTGAATAAAGCTTTGTTGGTCTTAAAGGTGCCCCACCGGACTCTAACTTCGTTCTGCTGGTTCATACCAACACGGCTGACCACCTGGATCTATCTCCAAGGCCGACCCTGCTTAGCTTCTGAGATTTGACAAGATCGGGCTAGTCTGGGCTGTCCAAGTCAGGGTATCTTTTATCTTGAAGGCCATAAACCTTGACAGTGAGACTTCGTCTATACACACAGCAGAAGGAGTCAGTACTGAAAGGGGTAGAATAAGCCTGACGCCAGTTCAGACAATGAGGAATTTCACATTACCCAGTTTCACCTGGTTTCAAGCCAGTAATTATCTGTTTTGAAGTGAACCGGTATAGGGCTGCCATTTCACACATGGCTTTCCCCTTCCGGTAAAGAGCTGGATCTGAAGCGGTTTGCCATTTCAGACTACACCGCTTTTTCCTGCTTTTCCCGTGCCGTTTTTCGCCCGTGCGGGCGATCTCCGGCTTTTTTTTTAACGTTGGCTTTAGAGCACTATAGCGCTATAGCAGTATAAAAACACTCAATGCGTTCCAATGGGATTGATATAATGCTATTTCGTTATAGCGTTATAGCGCTATAAAGCAAACGTTAAAAAAAAAGCCAGAGATCGCCCACGCGGGCGAAAAACGGCGGGAAAAAGCGCATCGGAACCGGGAGAGGAAACTGAGGAGTACTTGGAAGCGGTTGACAGGTAAAACGCTTCAGCCCCGTTTCCTAAACGGGACAGAAGCGATTGTGTATGAAATGAAAAATATATTCCGGAAGGGAACCGGTTGTCAAACGGTTCTGTCTGAAATGACAAACCAGAAACCGTTTGGGAACTGTTCCTCTTTCGGAATACATCGCCTGTCTGAAATTCCTCAATGTGTTTGTGTGTTTGTGTGCGTACATGTAGAAGGACCATAATCCTGATGCTCTCACATGTTAAAAGTCTCTGAAAATAAACAAATATTAGCACATCAGCGGAAATATCTGCAGTAGCGGGAACAGGAATCTGGACATAATCCCATTTTGGCAGCCTTCCTCCGCTGCCGCTGATTTTTTTGCCGACAAATGAAGAGAACGCTGAGACCACTTATTCAGTAACTCTGAGAACTATCTGTATGTCATTAAAATCCAATTTTAATGCTAACCAAACCCAATTTTAATGCTAACAAGCAGCTGCTTGTTTGGCTATGAAGTCTTTCTCTCACTGATTATGTTACTGGATACATAGAGATGGCCTTACGAAAGACTTAGAGACTTGGTTAGCATTAAAATGGGATCTTAATGCTATACAGACCATTCTTAGAGTTACTGATTAAGTGGTCTTGGCGTTCTCTTCATCTGTCAGTTACACGCACTGAGCGTCCCGATTTTGCCATATACCGTATTTTTCTGACCATAAGATGCACTTTTTCTTCCAAAAAAAGTGGGAGGAAAAGTGAGTGCGTCTTATGGACCGAAGGTTCAGAATATTTTTTTCCCTGTTTTCCTCCTTTAAAAACTAGGTGCGTCTTAAGGTCAGGTGCGTCTTATGGTCCGAAAAATACGGTAGCTGATTTTTTTGCCAGCACCGTCAGTGTTATGTTCTGCTAAATTTGTGCTCCTGCCTGTGATCAAGTCTTTGGAAACAGTTTGATGGAGAGAAGGCGGCATGGTATAGTCCAATCTTGTCAGATCTCAGAAGCTGAGCAGCATCAGTACTTGGTTGGGCGACCACCAAGGAAGGCTCTGCAGAGGAAGGCAGTGGCAAACCACCTCTGGCCCTCCCTTGCCTTGAAAGCCCCTTGCTGGGGTCGCCAGAAGTCATGTGCAACCTGATGATGCTTTACACACACATAAACGTAGGTTCAGGTGGGTAGCCATATTAGTCAGAAGTAACAGAGCCAAGTTTGAGTCCAGTGACACCTTTAAGACCAACAAAATCTAAATCTGGGCATAAACTTTTGTCTGAACGCACACTTCTTCAGATACCGGCACCTTTAAGACCAACAAAGTTTAATTCCGGGCATAAGCTTTCGTGTCCATGCACACTTCTTCAGATAGAATTTATCTTGGTGCTTGTGGGGGGGTCAACAGTGGGAGGGCTTCTAATGTCCTGGCCCCACTGGTGGACCTCCTGAGGGCACTGATATTTCTGGCCACTGTGTGATACAGAGTGTTGGACTGGATGGGCCTTTGGCCTGATCCAACATTGGCATCTCTTATGTTCTTATGTTCTTATAGTGTGCATGCACACCAAAGCTTATACCCAGAATTAAACTTCGTTGGTCTTAAAAGGTGTCACTGGACTCAGAACTTTGTTCCACACACATAAACAGTTTGACTGGTAGAACTTCTTTCTTACTTCTTAGGATTTCCCCTTCAGTATATTAAGAGCCAAGCTTTGGCTGGTGAAGACAGTCAAAACAGGATTGCATCTGGATTCCTGTTCCCACCACTACAAATATTTTCCTGTTCATGCATATATTTTCTTACTTGTGCCAATATCTTTGTTAATTTTGTTTTTGCTATTTACCTTTAGCCACATTTTGTCATTCCCGTAGATGTTACTTTTTGTTACTTGTTTAATCTTCTCTGGGGTAAATCATTGCTTGCGTGTTCTCTTATCACAGTGTATTGTGATTTTGGTTTAAGTTACTAGCAGTCCCAAATTGTGATCTTAAATTTTGGTTTTTATGGATTTTATTTATGGATTTTATCTAAGCCACTGTGAGCTCCGTGAGGAAGAAAGGCAGCTTATTTTAAATATATAAATTAAATAAATACTCTCAGGGAATTATGAAGGTACAGGAACTTTGGGAAAAAATGTACTTTCTACACTTGCAGTCTAAAGCGGAACAGACTATTCCACCACCTCAGAACTCCGCTCACATTACTACCTCATTCTGCTTCACACAGAGACCATGCCTGAGTGATGGCAAAGGTGTATCAGCTTTATTCTGATGTAATAGTCCTGGCTTCCCCCAAAGAATTGTGGGACTCTCAAGCTGTGAGGGTATGAGGAATTCTGAGAGAAATTCCTACGCTCACCTACCCCCTCACAGAACTACAGTTCCCAGAGTTGCCTGCTAAAGGGATGTGACTATTAAAGTGGGTTGAGCCTGTCCTGCAGAATTGCACATAATGGTTAGCACCAGGACTATTTTTGGGCAGGAACGCACAGGAACGGAGTTCCGGCTGGCCCCCAAGTTGACCACGCCCAGCAGGAACTCATTAGCATAATAGGCCACACCCAATAGCAGAAACTCATTAGGATTGGCTACATTAGGGGTGTGGCCTAACATGCAAAGGAGTTCCTGCTGCAAAAAAAGCCCTAGGTTTTGACAACAAACAAGGTAAACAGATTAAGAAGCAAAAGGTGGGTGTGGCTGGATGACTATACTTCTGGTAACATGGGGGTGCAGCCTAATATGCTAATGAGCTATGCTCTCATGGGTGTGGCTGGATATGCTAATGAGTTTCTGTTGTTGGGTGTGTCCTATTATGCTAATGAGTTCCTGATGCGCTTTTTCTACAAAAAAAGCCCTGGTTAGCACGCATGTGATTGCTTTCTGAGCTGACCCCAATCAGCACATGAGTGTGGAAAAGTAAGTATCAGAATTGGTTACTTCAAGGGACTTTTCTGGAGACAATCCTTTGTGCAGGGTATTTCTGTTATGTTACACTCCCGGGAAAAGTACGTGTTTTCCACAAGGCTCATCTACTTGTGCAGATAAATGTCATGGTACAAACTTGCTCAGACCGCACTGATTCCAACAGCAGATGAAGGGATCCTTGCCCTGTCCACAGAAAGTCAGCACCTCATGGAAAGGCCTTTTCCTTGATGAGCTAGCTTTCTGCATGGAGGGAGTTTATTTTAGATAAGATTTGTCATCCGTTCCAGAAATCTGAAACAAAACCATTCCCAATTTCTTCAGATCTAACTCAGCCCCCAGTTAAGGATGAGAACTACAACAAATCACAGTCCTACTAACCTACTTGTAAAAATGGAATAGTGATGAACCTACCTCAGGCTTCTTCTAATGACGAAAAACAATTTAAAAAAAAAGCCCCTCTAAAGCATTTTACACCATGAAAATGCTCCATGAAATAAAAAGCTACACCTCAAACGGGCAAACCTCAAACCATCACCACGACTACACAATTTGGATCCATGCAGTATGTGAGTCAGCCTTCAGCTACAGGACTTAAAACCGCTTCCAGTGGAAGCGGTTAATGAAAAAAGCAGCAAGCGTCCCAATGGAGCAGCCAGCAGCCGGACAGCCAGAGAATATCCCCTGCTCATTTCAAGCAAAAACATGACCAAAGTACAGACGACATGGCAAACACCAGCAGTTGCAGCAACCTGCTTAGTAAACGAACAGCACATATAAAGACACACACAAAAAAAAAACAAGCAAAGAGAGATGGAAAAAGCCTCCTACAGCACTCAAGAGATATCTTTTCCCCTCTCCCAGAGAGCCAGTTTGGTGTAGTGGTTAAGTGTGCGGACTCAAATCTGGGAGAACCAGGTTTGATTCCCCACTCCTCCACTTGCACCTGCTGATGTGACCTTGGGTCAGTCACAAGCTCTGGCACAGCTGTCCTTGAAAAAGAGCAGTTTGTCTCAGAGTTCTCTCAGCCCCACCCACCTCACAGGGTGTCTGTTATGGGGAGGGGAAGGGAGAGGAGTTTGTAAGCCGCTCTGAGACTCCAAGTGAAGGGCGGGGTATAAATCCAATCTCTTCTTCTTCTTCTTCTTAAGGTAGGCCTGAAAACATGAAGCTACCTTATACTGAAACAGACCCTTGGTCCATCGAAGCCAGTATTTGTCCAGCCAGACTGGCAGAGGCTCTCCGGGGTCTCAGGCAGAAGTCTTCCTTTTAACTGGAGATGCCGGGGATCGCACCTGGGACCTTCTGCGTGCCAAGCAGATGCTCTGCCACTGAGCCATAGACCCTCACCTAACATATGAATCCCCCTCTCCACTTCCAGACTCTTAAGGAAAGCTTCCTGCTTCACAATTTCCTCACACTCACAGGGATGTGTTGCTTTGTCACGTGATACCGCTTCCTTTACGGTCAGAGTGGTGCTGGGAGGGTGCAGGGTTGCCATTTGAGGGTTGGGAAATTACTGGACGTCTGGGGGACAGCAGGCTTTGGGGAAGGGAGGGACCTCAGTGGGCTATAATGCCAAAGAGTCCACCCTCCAGAGGACCTGGTCTCTGTCGTCTGGAGAGCAGTTGAAATTGTGGGAGATCTCCAGGCCCCGCCTTGAGGTTGGCAACCCTCGGGGTGTGGCATCATCTGAGAGGCGGGTGACAGTTTCTAAGAGCCTTACTGTGAAATTCTGATCAGCCACGAAGTGGCCTCGAACAACTGCCTATTGTTGTAGCCGTACTGACTTCGCAGGATGGCAGCATGGATAGAAACTGCCTGGATGTTAGTCAGCCTTGGTACAGAAAATCACAGTTACACTGTTTTAATGCTCTGGGGTTTCTTCTGGCTGGGTTTTCAATGGTTTGTCAATTTTTTAATGTTTTTTGTATTATCTTGCTTTATTTTTGTGATCTCCTCAAGCAGATATTTGAAAAGGTGGGGTGTATGAGTGTCCGTCTGTCAATCTATCCATCCAACCCATCCATCATCTATCCATCTATCTATCATCCATCTATCAATCATCTATCTATCAATCCATCCATCCATCATCTATCCATGATCTGTCTATCCATATATCAATCATCTATCTTATCTATCAATCATCCAATTGCCAATCTATCTATCTACCCATCCATCAATCATCTATCCATGATCTGTCTATCCATATATCAATCAACTATCTTATCTATCAATCATCCAATTGCCAATCTATCCACCCATCCATCGATCATCTATTCATGATCTGTCTATCAGTCATCTATCTATCAATCCATCCATCAATCGTCCATCTATCCATCCATTCGTCCATCCATCCATCCATCGTTTATCCATCCATCCATCGTCCATCGTCCGTCTATCAATCCATCCATCGTCCATCCATCCATCTATCCTTCCATCATCCATTTATCCATCATCCATCCATCCATCCATCGTCCATCCATCCATCCATCCACCCACCCATCATCCATCCATCTATCCATCCATCGTCCATCCATCCATCCATCCATCCATCCATCCATCTATCCATTCATCCATCCCTCCATCCATCATCCCTCCATCCATCATCCATCATCCGTCCATCTATCATCCATCAATCCATCCATCATCCATCCATCATCCTTCCATCCATCCATCCATATCCATCCATCCATCCATCATCCATCCATCCATCCATCTGCCGTTCACTCTTCCACAGCCTAGTCCTCCCCACAAGGCTTCTGGGAGAAAATAAAAGGAAATACGCTTACCCTTGCATGCCCTTCTAAGCTCTTTGTAGAAAAAATACATATTAAACCGTGATTAAAATGTGGAATTTCCTGCCAGAGGATGTAGTGACGACCACAGGCATACACAGCTTTAAAAGTGGGATTAGACAGATTCATGGACGACAGATTTATCAGTGGATACTAGCCATGATGACTGAGGGGGAGCCACCCTGAGCCTGCTCTGCAGGGAGGGCGGGATACAAATCTGACAATAAATAAATCTCTGAATGCCAGGACCAGGAGGCAACATCAGGGGAAGGCCTCAGCCTCTATGCCCTGTTGTTGGTCCTCCAGAGTAACTGGTTGGCCACTGAGTGAGACAGGATGCTGGACTAGATGGACCACTGGTCTGATCCAGCAGGGCTCTTCTGATGTTCATTTCATCGTTAATACTGAAAAGTGAGGCACAGTAGCCAAGATGGTTTGAGTCCAGGCACTGTTTATCCCAAGGCTGGTTCACACAGGGACGTTCTCGACATGACTCCCAGACAAGCACATAAACTGTCCCTGTCCCAAAAAGTATTGTATCTGAGTGGACATGAAGTGTGATGGTTCTGTCTCCAATGGCTCAGTCACCCAAAGTCATCACCAACTGATAACTGGTGAACGTGAAACGGCCTTAGAAATGCAAGAGGCTGTCTTACACCGTGGGTTTATCCCATATGCATGGGACACAGTAAGGTAGAGAAAGAAGTCCTTTTCTCCCTTTCTCACATAATTCAAGAACTCGTGGGCACTCCATGAAATTGCTGAGCAGTCGGGTTAGAATGGATAAAACAAAGTCTTTCTTCACCCAAAGAGTGATTAACACATGGAATTCACTGGCCACAGGAGGTGGCGGCAGCTACAAGCATGGATGGCTTCAAGAGGGAATTATAGAAGCGCATGGAGCAGAAGTCCATCAGTGGCTATTAGCCACAATGTACAGATAGGAACTCTCAGTCTGGGGCAAGGGATGCTCTGTATTCTTGGTGCTTGGGGGGGGGCAACAGTGGGAGGGCTTCCAGTGCCGTGGCCCCACTGCTGGACCTCCTGATGGCACCTGGTATTTTTGGCCACTGTGTGACAGAGTGGGGTACTGAATGGGCCATTGGCCTGATCCAACATTGGCTTCTCTTATGTTCCTATGTCTGCCCAGCCCACTCTTGCCTACCCTGACCGGCAGTGGCTTCCCAAGGTCTCAGGCAAAGGTTTCCCCAGTCCTGTACACCAGAGATGTCTCCAACATGCAAAGCATATGCCCTGCCACTGCTCCAGGGCCCTTCTCTTCAGAGTTTGCAAAGCCCCAGTTTCTCTTTGCAGTGAGTGAAAATACTGGCAAAGAGGCAGGCTTTGCTAATCTTACCATGTGCCTTAAACCAACGGCCAGAGCTTCGCTGAGAAGCGCTTAGGACGACGTGGCTACTAAACCTTCTATGTCCTAGAACGAACGTTTCAAAAAAAAAAAAAGAGGCAAACACAAATAAAAGAAACGGCAACACAAAACGCTTGGACGGCAGTATAAAAAACAACAACACAAGATCAACCCCAAGGCAAATTTTAAAAGGGGGGGGGAAAGAATATTTTTTGAAAAGCAAATGGGATGTCCAAACCAAACGGAAAGGTTGTCTTGTGAAGGCTGCTTACCTCTTCCTTCTTTGGCCAGAAGGGCCTGCAGGCAAAAGCAACAAACACGATCCCAAGAATGACTCCCAGGGCCATGATGATATAGGGAATGCTGGTCAGTAAAGAAGATTCGAGCAGAGCGACCTTCAGTTTCCCTGCAGAATCATCATCCAGCACGACACTCTGGAAGGATGAAGACAAAGGATATCACCTTCCTTCCCCTTTCCACTCTGGTCAAGTATGATTTAGGGCAGTGCCAAGTTTCTGACGCTGTTTGAACGTGGAGCTCCCCTTTTGCATTTTTGCGGACTTTTTGCCCCATCACCAAAGATTCATCCCCTCCAAGATTCAGAGATTCTCATGAGGGCCTAACGACACACAGCGCTTGCACACACCCCTGAATAACCCACTTTAGCAATCATTTGCAAGTTGTTTTTGCCATTTCACACAGCAGATTCCGGTTGCAAAGTGCACTGAAAGTGGACTACTCAGCATGTGTCTTAGGGCTTTTCTGCATTTTTCTCCCTTGTAACATCCTTTTTCTTGGGGAGGAGGGGCCGTTCTGCGTCTTGCGCCCTCTAGTGGTCGATTCAATGTCACACATGTCTATGTCCAGCAGAAATACCTGCTGTTTAAATCTGCAGGGAGATATGCCGGACATAACCCTGTGTGAGACCGAATCGACCACTAGAGGAAGTTAAACACGTGTGGAACGGAAAAACCCTCCCAAAGAAACAAGAAGTTACATCGAGGAAAATAAGAATGCAGAAAAGCCCTTAGTTACCTGGTTTACAGGTCTGCCCTGGGTCCTGTCAAGCAGACACGTCCTGTGAGTTCTCTACGGAAAGTTAGATTCCAATTCCGATTGGGACCGTGGTGCACCGGGGGGAAGAGACACTAAGCCTTCCACCCTGAAATAGCCCCAGGGATCTACTAAATGCCCATTTAGGAAGATTCCATGTCACCCATTGGGTACATGCGGAGCCCAACAGTACACATACGTTTTCTAAACAGGGGAAGATACCACTTCTCCGGGACCATTTCAAGCTGGGAAACTGATATGGGTGGAGAGCTTAAATCCCCTCCCCTACACTGCGGTGGCTCAAGTGGTTAAGACGCTGAACTGCAGGCTGTGGAAGGTCGGTAGTTCTGCAGTTCAAGACCCGAGTGTGCCGCATGACGGAGTGAGCTCCCGTCTCTAGTTCCAGCTCCTGCCAACCTAGCAGTTCGAAAGCAAGAAATTGCAAGTAGATAAATAGGTACCACTTCAGTGGGAAGGTAACAGCGTTCCGTGCGCCTTGGTGTTTAGTCATGCCGGCCACATGACCACGGAAATGTCCACGGAAATGGCCCCGTGGAACTGTAACAAGTCCAGCAAGGCCCTGCTGTCCTCCGGGAGGTCATTCCATCAATATGGGGCTGCCACAGAGAAGGCCCTGGCCCTCGTCACCACTAGCCTGGCTTCTCTAGGGCCTGGAACGGCCAAACGATTTTGCAACCCTGACCGTAGTGCTCTCTGGGGATCATGTGGGGAAAGGCGGTCCCTTAGGTAGATAGGTCCCTGACCATGTAGGGCTTTAAAGGTGAGAACCAGCACCTTGAACCGAATCCGGTATGCTATAGGCAGCCAGCGCAGTGCTTTTAGGGAAGGCTGGATGTGCCCCCGCATAATAATAATAATATTATTATTCTTACTTACCTCATTTAAATGAAATATCGGGAAAACCAGTGTTCTGATATTGCCTGTTTGACTAAAAGAAGATGAGATAGTGGTTAAGGCACTGGTGTTCTGAAGGGATCTCATGCAAGCCACTGCATCTTCACAATGAGATATCAGGAGATCAAGTCAGAGAGTGAAAAAGTACCATGGTCCCAGGGTATGTTTGGAGGTCACCGGATATAAAATATTCCTAGTGACTTATCAGGTGTGGGTCTGATTGGCAACTGTATAGGACAAGGTTCCCCTACCTGTTTGAGCCTACAGGCACCTCTGAAATTCTGACACAGCATGGTGGGCACAGGTACAAAATGGCTGGCACAAAATGGTTGCCAGGCTCGGTGCGAGCCACCCACAAAATGGCTGCCGCAGCTTACCTTCATTCACAAAGTGAAGATCCTTGTGCTTTGGTGACAGCGGCTGCCAAAGTGACATTTTTTAAAAATTTGCACAGCCAATCAAAAATTGCCCTGACCTGGATCGCCAAGGCAAGCCAGAACTTGTCAGATCTCGGAAGCTAAGCAGGGTCGACTCTGGCAAGTACTTGGGTGGGAGACCTCCTTGAAATACCAGCAGTCGGGGGCAGGCTTTATTCAGCCACCTCTCTGAATATCCTCCAGGCCCCCAGTAGGGGTCAGTCACCAGAGGTCACCATGACTTCCAGGTGCACACACACACAGAGACGCACAGACATATAAAAAAAAATTTAAAACCCAAAATCCAATGGCCAATCAGAAGTCTTGCTGGGCAAAAGCCCCAGCTGGCTGCATCCCCTTTCTAAAAACACTTGGTGGGCGCCAGGAAAGGTGTTGGCAGGCGCCATTTTGCCCACATACACCACACTGGATGCTCCCTCTAAGCTGTGGAGTCTTGTGAGCAAAAATTCTACTTTGTGAGCTGCTGGAGAGCCAGTTTGTTTGGTGTAGTGGTTAAATGCGCGGACTCTAATCTGGGAGAACCGGGTTCGATTCCCCACTCCTCCACTTGCACCTGGCTGGATGACCTTGGGCAAGCCATAATCCTGGCACAGCTGTTCTTGAAAAAGAGCCGTTTCTGTCAGAGCTCTCTCAGCCCCACCTACCTCACCGGGTGTCTGTTGTGGGAAGGGGAAGGGAAAGGAGTTTGTAAGTCACTCTGAAACACCTTTGGGTAGTGAAGGGCGGGGTATAAATCCAATCTCTTCTTCTTCTTCTTCTTCTTCTGGCATTAAAGTTGTGAGCAAGCGATTTGGCTGCTGCATAAATCAGTTTGCTCTGGAGCCCTCCCCCCTGAGCTAAGGCAAAAATGCGTGAGCCGGAGGCTAAAAAAAACTGTGAACCAGCTCACACTAAACTCAGCTCAGAGGGAACACCGGTGGAGATCCCTGGTACATGAAGTCTCTTGGGAAAACCCCATGTATGCCTCCTTGGACTTCATGAAGGATGGAAAGTTGGGATTTAAATTGTAACAGATAAATAAAGCCCACCTGTGCATAATCCAGCAGAGCAGAAGGGGGTTATCAGATCACGGGGAGAAGAAAAGCTTGTGGCAGCCATGTCTACTAGGGTTGGCAGGGAAGGCCTGGCAACTGGTGGGGGGGCGCTTACCTGGTGGGTGGGGCTCGCCAGCAACGTCACACCCACAACACTCCCTGCGTGACTGGAAGTGACGTCAGCACGTTGCCAGGAATGCGCTAGCATTTGGGCAAAACTCCGTGGTTTAACCCTACAGCGTTGCCCAAATGCTAGAGTGTCCCCGGCATTGGGCTGATGTCACTTCCGGGCGCACAGTGTGTAAGACCGTGCAGCCAATAGCCTGGAGTTTCCTCCCCATTCCCCCCCCCCCCCGCCAGCCAGCTGAACATTGGTGGGGAGCTATGACCAATGGGCAACAAAAGGAAAGGTCTTAAGAACACTGTTCATAGCTTTTAGCCTCATGAGCCAGCTGGTTGCCTACAAAGCCATCCATGGCGGGCTCCTCCATGTGGATCTTCCTGGGTTTCTTTCTGTTGCTCTCTCAGTGGCACTGATAAGCCAATGGAGGAGGAGGAGGAGGAAGAAGAATAAGAGGAGGAGGAGGAGACTGGATTTATACTCCACCCTTCACTCTGAGTCTCAGAGCAGCTTACAGTCTCCTTTCCCTTCCCCCCACCACCACAGACACCCCGTGAGGTAGGTGGGGCTGAGAGAGCTCTTTCGAGGACTGCCCTTGAGAGAACAGCTCTGAGAGAGCTTGTGACTGACCCAAGGTCACACCAGCAGCTGCATGTGGAGGCGTGGGGAAATCAAACCCGGCTCTCCCAGATTAGAGTCCACGCTCCTAACCGCTACAACCAAACTGGCCCGACTGTGCATGCATTACACCCAACGCACATACAATCTGTGTACAGGGTATGCCTGATTTTTAATTTGCATGTGCACCGAGTAATCCTTACGTGACGCAGGCTCCTCCTCGTCAGATGCAGAGGCCGAAGACACAGAGGCGGCAGCAGACGAGCATGTAATGCCTCTGCAGGAGGAAGCGATTCAGACACACCCAGGAGCAATTTTTGGCGTGGAAGGAGTCGTCCCAGGAGTCAGATTCAAGCTCCTTACCCTGGAGAACAGCCCTGACTTCTGACTCAGAGTTGGACACGGAAGCCTCCACCCCAGAGCCGGATACAGCACCAGACGCCTGTCCCCCAAACCCTCAGGCCTTTCAAAGGGCGATTCCGCATTGGCTTTTCCCTCCATTGTTTTACCAAAGGTGCAGCTCAAAACCACATTCCAATACCCCGGGGCAACACCGGACTGACCGCGAAGTCACCCCTGAATGTCCACAACTCTATGCAGAAGGTACCATAAAACCCAATGATCAACTAAAGTGAAAGCGGCATGCAGTGTAGAAGCAGTGTTCCCTCTAAGCTGAGTTAGTGTGAGCCAGCTCACAGTTTTTTAGCCTCCGGCTCACACCTTTTTGTATTCGCTCAGGAAGGATGTGGCTCCAGAGCAAACGGATTTACGCAGCGGCCAAATCGCTCGCTCACATCTTTAATGCCAACGGCTCACAGAGCAGAATTTTTGCTCACAAGACACAACAGCTCAGAGGGAGCGTTGCTGACGATTTACTGACATCACTTCTGGCCGCAGAGGATGTGACGTCATAACATCACTGGTGATGTTATTATGTTGCTGATGAGGCCCCCTGTCAACTGTAAGTCCCCTCTGCGTGGCAACTCTATGACACAGCACAGCTGGCGCCAGGGCCTGGCTTCCTGGGCCTCAGAGGCTTTAGCAGGGTGATGCATGGATTTCTTTAGGTCATGATTTCCCTGCCTCTCTTACTTCCTTCCGTCCCGCAAGACATGACAGTTTTTCGTCCACAATACCCAAAATGGCTGGGAGGGAGAGAAGAAGAGATTGGATTTACATCCTGCCCTTCACTACCCGAAGGAGTCTCAGAGTGGCTTACAAACTCCTTTCTCTTCCCCTCCCCACAACAGACACCCTGTGAGGTAAAAGAAGAAGAAGAGGAGGAGATTGGATTTATACCCCGTACTTCACTACCCAAAGGAGTCTCAGAGTGGCTTACAAACTCCTTTCCCTCCCCCCCCCACAACAGACACCCTGTGAGGTAGGCGGGGCTGAGAGAGCTCTGACAGAAACTGCTCTTTTTTCAAGAACAGCTCTTATCAGAACTACGGCTTGCCCAAGGTCATCCAGCCAGGTGCATGTGGAGGAGTGGGGAATCAAACCCGGTTCTCCCAGATTAGAGTCCGCGCATTTAACCACTACACCAAACTGGCTCTCAGAGCCAAAGAGGGAAGGATGGAAAGTGCCAGGCAAACCCCAGCTGACCAAAATCCCACAGAAACAGGAAGGAAGGAGAGAAGAAGTGTTTAAGGAACTGCTGTATGAACAAAACAAGATTAACAAACTACTGCGGATACGTGAGAATGTTCCATCCTATCTACCTCATGTTTTTATCCAGTGAGGCGTCTGTGGCTCTCCCGTTCTACATTTTATCCTCACACCACCACTGTGAGGTGGGTTAGGCAAAGAGGAGGAGGAGGAGGGGGAGGAAGAGGAGATTGGATTTATACCCCGCCCTTCACTACCTGAAGCTCAGAGCGGCTTACGATCACTGCTCCCTCTAAGCTGAGTTAGTGTGAGCTAGCTCACAGTTTTTTAGCCTCCGGCTCACACATTTTTGTCTTCGCTCAGGAAGGACGGCTCCAGAGCAAAGTAATCTATGCAGCAGCCGAATCGCTCGCTCACAACTTTAATGCCGGCAGCTCGCAAAGCAGAACTTTTGCTCACAAGACTCCACAGCTTACAGGGAGCGCTGCTTACAATCTCCTTTCCCTTCCCCTCCCCACAACAAACACCCTGTGAGGTAAATGGGGCTGAGAGAGCTCTTTCGAGGACTGCTGTGAAGGAACTTGTAACTGACCCAAGGTCACACCAGGTGGCCGCATGTGGAGGAGTGGGGAGTCAAGCCCGGTTCTCCCAGATTAGAGTCCGCCACTCTTAACCACTACACCAAACTGTCTCTCAGAAGGTCAGCTGGCTGGCCAAAGGTCACCCAGAGAGCTGAGTGGCGGGAGTGGAGATCTGGACCAGGATCCAAGCTGAACCAACACCTCACACTGACTCTCCCTTTCACAATCCCATGAGGAGTCAGTGGTCAAGGGCCAAGGCTCTTAACCTGACAACCGCACTCCGCTGCTGCAGGGAAGCCCGGTCTTCCTCATGAACTCCAAAGTGAAATCAGCTCCCCTGTCTATTTATTTTTTATCCTGCTGTCCCAAAGAGTTCGGGGCTTTTGTTCATAGTTCTCTCCTCCTCTATATACAGAGGAGGCACCCTGGGGTCTAATGAACATGTCCAGAAGAGGGCAACCAGGATGGTGAGAGGAAGAAGAAGAGGAAGAAGAGATTGGATTTATACCCCGCCCTTCACTACCCAAAGGAGTCTCAGAGCGGCTTACAAACTCCTTTCCCTTCCCCTCCCCACAACAGACACCCTGTGAGGTAGGTGGGGCTGAGGGAGCTCTTGACAGAAACTGCTCTTTTTCAAGGACAGCTCTTATCAGAACTACTGCTTGCCCAAGGTCATCCAGCCAGGTGCAAGTGGAGGAGTGGGGGATCAAACCCGGTTCTCCCAGATTAGAGTCCGTGCACTTAACCACTACACCAAACTGGCTCTCTGGAGAGGGTTAGAATCCAAATGAGGAAAGGCTGAAAGAGTTGGGGATGTTTAGCCTGGGAAAGAGAAGGCTTAGAGGGGACATGATGGCAGTCTACAAATATTCAAAGGGCTGTCATGTAGAAGATGGAGCAGATCTATTCTCTTTTGCTCCGGATTGCAAGACTAGATCTAATGGGTGGAAATGACAAGGGAGTCGATACCGGCTAAATATCACGAGAAACTTCCTAACTGTCAGAGTGGTTGAGCAGTGGAACGGACTGCCTCAGGAGGTGGTGGATGCTCCTTCGCTGGACATTTTCAAGCGGAGGCTGGACGACCATCTTTTGGGTATGTTGTAGGGCTATCTTTCGGCTATGTGCCTGCAGAGTTCAGGGGGTTGGACTAGATGACCTGCAAGGTACCTTCCAACTCGAACATTCTATGATTCTGTGATTCTATGAACTTCCTGGTTTCTCTGCGTGCTTCAGAATGTTAAAAAAGACAGGATACATGCATGTTTGTGAGACAGACAGAAAAGCACTTGGCAGACAAGAACAGACAATTCATGAGCTGCACACAGCACACAGAGTTGTTCAGGCCTGCTGCAGATCCCTGCAATTTGAGCAGGCGTGCCCTTAAATGATGATCATAAGAACATAAGAAAAGCCCCAGACCAATAGTCCATCTAGTCTCACCCAGTGGCCAACCATTTCCCCTGGATGGGCAACAACGGGGCATAGAGGCAGAGGCCTTCCCCTGATGTTGACTCCTGGCTCTCAGATTCAGAGGATTGGTGTCTCTGAATGCAGAGGTTCCCCTCAGTCACCTGGGCTAGCAGCCATTGACAGACTTCTCTTTCACGAATCTATCTAATCCTCCTTTAAAGCTGTTTATTCCTGTGGCCATCCCGAAGTCCTCTGGCAGCGAATTCCACATTTTAATAGCTCTCTGTGTAAAGTAGTATTTCCTTTTGTCTGCCCCGACCCTACTGCCCGTCAGCTTCATTGGATGCCCTCATGTTCTAGTATTTTGGGAGAGGGAGAAAAAGTTATCTTGGTCAACTCTCTCCACCCGAAGCATAATTTTATAAACTACTATCATGACCCCCCACCCTTTAGTCATCTCTTTTCTAAACTGAAAAGTCCCAGTCTCTTCGGCCTTCCAGGAGGAGGAAACAGACAGATTTCCAAACCTGGGTAACGGCCGTTAGTAATGTCGCCCAGAGCAGAGGTACACCCTTTTTAAGCCCATTAAAGTCAATGTGCTTAGAAGGGTGTAACTTGCACTGAAGGCAAGAGAAGAGGTTCATCCAGATCCACAGCCAGAGATTTTGTGGTGATTCCTGTCAATCATCCTAATACCTTTGGAGTCACTGGGCAGGATACCAAAAGCCATTCGTAGGCTCACATCTTACCAAGGAACTGGGAAGAATACGTAGCCCTGCATTTTCCCTTATATTTCCGTATTTTTTCATTCATTCATTCATTCATTCATTCATTCATTCATTCATTCATTCATTCATTCATTCGCTGCATGCTCCAGCAAACCACTTGGGGAAGCTTACAAAAACACAATAAAACCCTGAACAGTAAAGAAACAGAGCAGCCACAACAAGCAATAGCATCCGAGGGCAAGAATTACAATTTTCAAAGGCAACCCCATAGAATTACAAAGTTGGAAGGGACCTTCGGGGTCATCTAGTCCAACCCCCTGCACAATGCAGGAAATTCACAAATGCCCCCCCCAACACACACACACACACTCCCAGTGACCCTTGCTCCATGCCAAGAAGATGGCAAAAAAACAAACAACCCCCCCCCCCCCCCCAGCC